CTTGTTATAATGACATTACCCATTGTTTAAGGTAATTGTATCACAGGCAGAGGGGAGGATTTTGTGTGGGAGTGTCTGAGTGTATTGTATGTTTTTATTGGTTGTGTTCCAAAACCCTGTGGTTGGTACTAATGTGTAAGAATGTGTACATAAGCACAATAAACCCACAGCTCTGACTGTTCACTGCTTGACCCTCAAAACGGAGCTTTGTCTCGTTCTTGGAGGGATTTATTGTATGCTGTTCCAGTTTGACTGCTAGGAGTGTAAACCTATTCGTATGTTTTTTTCTATTCGGCTGTTTACAGCATTCGTATGGTTTCCTGTTCGGCAGATTGGTGTTCTGCTGTAGCTGTGCCTGTGTCTCTGGAAGGCAAGATCTCCTAAACGGCGGTTTAACCCTTTTATGCCTGGGGGTGCCGTTACAATTGGTGGCAAGCGGCGGGATCGTTCATACAGCCAGAAGGACAGCTACAGGAGACACCATTTCTTTGGATTTTACAAATTGTGGGCAACGCATGTCTGAGTACAGTGACCCTGACAGCATCAGGATGTAACCAGCAGTGGAGTACGATGAGGGTGTCATGGATGACCGAGATGCAGTTCGCAAAGGCATCTGGTACCAGGCACTGGGCATTGTGCAGTACCAGCGGGGCAAGAGACTCCCCAATGAAGACCAGCGATTGCAGAAGCGACTAGCCCTGCGGATGCCCTTCCTGGGAGAGCAGGAATGGGTGAAGGAATTGGAGCTCCGGGTATGGCAGGAGATTTGGCTGGAAGATGCCTACCAGGCGCTCTGGTGGTATGGGGCACAGTACCTGCCCTGGACAGCCGAGCATGACAAGCCAGAGGGAGAGGAGTTTGATGGTCCTGGTTTGTTGTGGGAGGCTTTTTCAGAGCCTGAGTTTGGGAGCTCTACACAAACTCGGTTCAGTGATGTCTTGGAGTGGAGGGAGAGCAGGTATGACTGGGACGACACTCATGAGCTTGAGCAAGACCTGGCCCACCTAGTGACCCGAGAGATGGAGCTGGAGCAGAGCTACCAAGATCTGTTCCACTCCAGTGAGAAGGCTCAGCAGGGAAGTGGAGACCCAGATCCAGACCCATTCAGCTGGGCCTCCCGAACGGCAATACACGAACTGCTGCTAGCCGCCGAACAACAATATCCACCAAGCGGCTTTCGTTTCCATCCAGCAGTCTCTAAACGTGAAGAAGAAATCCCCCCAATAACGAGACAGAAGCTCCGCATTTAGGGTCAAACAGGATCTGGTGGAGATGGGACCGAGGTCTCTCCACCGGTCCTGCAGGGAATTGGGAGCCCAGTCTCCATTCCCCAGCGGGAGATATTGCAGGGAATTGGAAGCCCAAGCTCCATTCCCCAGCGGCAGGGGGGTTACAGGGGACAGAGATAGTTGGTCCTGTCCCCCAGCGGCAGTGTACCTTGCAGGGAGAGGAGAGCAGCGTCCTCCCTCCCCAGTGGCAGGGTGAGCTACAGGGATGCTGGGCAGTCGGCTCAGATCCCCAGTGGGCAGTGTGAATTACAGGGAATTGGGAGCCCAGTCTCCATTCCCCAGCGGCAGTATGAGTCATTGGGAATTGGGAGCCCAGTCTCCATTCCCCAGCAGGAGATACAGCAGGGAATTGGGAGCCCAGTCTCCATTCCCCAGCGGGAGATACAGCAGGGAATTGGGAGCCCAGTCTCCATTTAACAGCGGCAGATACAGCAGGGAATAGTGTGTGTTATAGGAGGTGTGGGGAGCTGCAGTGAGCGTGCTGATTAGGTAGTGTGGGTTATAGGAGGTGTGAGGAGCTGCAGTGAGTGTGCTGCTCAGGTAGTGTTAGTTATAGGAGGTGTGGGGAGCTACAGTAAGTGTGTTGCTCAGGTAGTGTGGGTTATAGGAGGTGTAAGGAGCTGCAGTGAGTGTGCTGCTCAGGTAGTGTGAGTTATAGGAGGTGGGGGGAGCTGCAGTAAGTGTGTTGCTCAGGTAGTGTGGGTTATAGGAGGTGTGGGGAGCTGCAGTAAGTGTGTTGCTCAGGTAGTGTGGGTTATAGGAGGTGTGGGGGGCTGCAGTGAGCGTGCTGATCAGGTAGTGTGGGTTATAGGAGGTGTTAGGAGCATGAGTCATTGGGAATTAGGATACCGGTCTCCATTCCCCAGCGGGAGATACAGCAGGGAATTGGGAGCCCAGTCTCCATTCCCCAGCGGGAGATACAGCAGGAGCTACAGTGAGTGTGCTGCTCAGGTAGTGTGGGTTATAAGAGGTGTGGGGAGCCGCAGTGAGCGTGCTGCTCAGGTGGTGTGGGTTATAGGAGGTGTGGGGAGCTGCAGTGAGTGCTGCTCAGGTAGTGTGTGTGTTAAGACACCTCCAGTGTCTTTAGGCAAAACCGCCGTTTAGTAGACCTTCCCCGGCTGCAGTAACAGTAACTCCGTTCGCCTAACCTGTAGTACACGAACCAAATACAGGGGAAGCGGCAATCTCCCGACCGGGATCCATGAACGGCTCCAAACTCCCGAACGGCAATACACGAACTGCTGCTAGCCGCCGAACAACAATATCCACCAAGCGGCTTTCGGTTCCATCCAGCAGTCTCTAAACGTGAAGAAGAAATCCCCCCAATAACGAGACAGAAGCTCCGCATTGAGGGTCAAACAGGATCTGGCTTTACTGTGGGCTACCTGCCCGTATTTATGCAGGTTTCCCACTTGGTGGACACTCCCCTAGGGGACCAAATGGGAAACTTAAATGACAGACAGATATGGGGACATTCCAGACACACAGTCACAGATTTTACCCACAGTGCATTATGATTCCCTCCCCTCTGCCCTGGAGATAATTACCAAGTAACTCAATTATCTCCCGGGCAGAGCCAGTCGCCATTTTAAATATAAAATCATAAAAGACATAAAAATGCATAACTTTCAAATAACCGAACATTTCCCATTCGTATCACATATCCCCAGATAGCCTAGATCTGAGTTATTATTAGCGAATAGCGCTCAGATCCCACACACATAGTTCAGTCGCCATGGAGTCAAAGTTCTTACAGTCTTTCGGTATGCGAATGACTCCATGGGGAGGCTATCTGGGATAAGTCTTTTCGTATGCTCCAAACCTCCCGAACGGCCTGTATTCGTATGCTTTTGTGGAGACAGCCAGGCGTTCCGTTGTTTCAGCAGTGTTCGGCAGAAAAAGTGTCCGTTTTTAGTTCCATAGAAATAGAGCCAAACACCGCTGGGCTTTCACGTGGTTTAAAATGGCCGCTGCCTCGTGGTCAACATACGAACGACGACCACCCTGAATTTGGTTTAATTGAGAAGTGTCTGCGGTTAACCACAACGTTCTAATTGGGATCAATAGGTTAACCAGCAGCACACTTCTCTCCTGGGTGGCCGTCCGTTCGGCAGGTTTGTTCGGGAAAAAGAGTCATTCGAATGGCTGGGCTATAGAAAGCAGCCATTCATACGAACAGGATACAAACAGACGAATACAACTAAAATAAGCAGACAGATGGTTCTGTCACAGTGTGTTATAGGAGGTGTGGGGAGCTGCAGTGAGTGTGCTGCTCAGGTAGTGTGGGTTATAGGAGGTGTGGGGAGCTGCAGTGAGTGCTGCTCAGGTAGTGTGTGTTATAGGAGGTGTGGGTAGCTGCAGTGAGTGTGCTGCTCAGGTAGTGTGTGTTATAGGAGGTGTGGGGAGCTGCAGTGAGTGTGCTGCTCAGGTAGTGTGTGTTATAGGAGGTGTGGGTAGCTGCAGTGAGTGTGCTGCTCAGGTAGTGTGTGTTATAGGAGGTGTGGAGAGCTGCAGTGAGTGTGCTGCTCAGGTAGTGTGGGTAATAGGAGGTGTGGGAAGCGGCAGTGAGTGTGCTGCTCAGGTAGTGTGGGTTATAGGAGGTGTGGGGAGCTGCAGTGAGTGTGCTGCTCAGGTAGTGTGGGTTATAGGAGGTGTGGGGAGTTGTAGTGAGTGTGCTGCTCAGGTAGTGTGTGTTACAGGAGGTGTGGGAGCTGCAGTGAGTGTTCTGCTCAGGTAGTGTGTATTATAGGAGGTGTGGGGGCTGCAGTGGGAGTGTGCAGCTCAGGTAGTGTGGGTTATAGGAGGTGTAGGGGCTGCAGTGAGTGTGCTGCTCAGGTAGTGTGTGTGGGTTATAGGAGGTGTGGGGAGCTGCAGTGAGTGTGCTGCTCAGGTAGTGTGTGTAATAGGAGGTGTGAGGAGCCTGCAGTGAGTGTGCAGCTCAGGTATTGTGTGTTATAGGAGGTGTGGGGAGCTGCAGTGAGTGTGCTGCTCAGGTAGTGTGTGTAATAGGAGGTGTGGGGAGCTGCAGTGAGCGTGCTGCTCAGGTAGTGTGTGTTATAGGAGGTGTGGGGAGCTGCAGTGAGTGTGCTGCTCAGGTAGTGTGGGTTATAGGAGGTGTGGGGAGCTGCAGTGAGTGTGCTGCTCAGGTAGTGTGGGTTATAGGAGGTGTGGGGAGCTGCAGTGAGTGTGTTGCTCAGGTAGTGTGGGTTATAGGAGGTGTGGGGAGCTGCAGTGAGCGTGCTGCTCGGGTAAATATTAGGTAAGATAATTAGGTAAATAATCCTAAAAAGAATCTCGAGGCAGAGAGCATGAGAATACCCAGCGAGCCGTGTATCTACATCTCCCCGTTCTGTCCCTCCAGATACCTGGAATTATCAGGTTTATTTTATAGTGTGCCAGTCCTGAAGGGGTTAATCCCATCCACGCTCTGTCATCCAGAAATGAGAGAAACCTCTTTCATTTAAGGAAGTCACGGTGTTCACTCCCAGCACAGTATCCGGGAGGACCAGAGACTGTCCGTTATCAATCACTGTCTGACCGAGGTGTATGGATACGGCTGAAGGATCCTGTCATAGATTAAATTCTCTGACATTTATTTCATTTAACACAGAATGTATTTCCTTTCGGTCCTTGCTTAAAGGATTGTTATAGTAAAAGACAGAATTGAGGTGACAGTTGTCCTGTAAGCCAAGGAAACAAAGTAACTTTAAAATTCTGGGCAGATTTTGGGATAATTTGTAACTTGTTTGTTCAGGAAGGAGGAGCACTGGGCGTTGCCTGAAACTCCCTTTTCCCAGAGTGCACTGGGAGTCAATGCACAGAACAGACGGCTACAATGTGGAGACAAGTCCTGGAGGACGGCAGGTGAGCTGGTCCTGGGGTCCGTCCATGCGCAGATCCAAATAAAGGATTTATCTGTAAGGATGGCTGCATTTATAGCAGTCAGAATAATTCCAGATAGTTCCATGGGGTTCATTCGCTAAACCAGGAATTGTCAGGAAACTCAATCTGCATTAAAACATGTCTCTAGCAATATTACAGCAGCAAATTAACCCTATAAAGCACAGGAGGAGGGGCGCCCTGCACTCACTGGCAGCCGTGCAAGTTATTACATAATAAAGAACGAAGGTGAGACACCTGACACAGAGCGATGGCTTCAATGTACTGCGTCTCTTCCTTCTGTGAGCCACTCGCTGTTCTTTAATATTAATAATAATACGTTCGCTGTTAAATAATAATATATCCGCTGGTATATAATAATAATAATAATACGTCCACTGTTAAATAATAATAATACGTTCACTTTTAAATAATAATAATAATAATAATATGTCCGCTCGGCGTGACTGTAAGAATTAATACGTTTGTCTTGTATAAAAGATACGATTTCAAACTAGAAACATTGACTAAAATGCAGCAGGCAGGGCAGCACTGCTTTTAATGCACCTGCACAGTTATTAAATCACAAAGAATAAATCCAGCTAAGCTATCCATTTCTCTGCAGTTTTACACAAGTTTTAAAAGAAACCGGTTTTCGAAAATTCTTCTGTCTTGTAATGCAGAGTTCCTGACTGTGTTAGATCAGATGAACCCTGATAACCTGGCTTGTGTCTCTGTCACCCTAACTGGGCTCTCAGGACGGCAGGATTCCATGGTGGTTTGGGGATAGCTATGCTGCAGCATTAATCCCACGGTGGTCTAGGGATTACCGTGCTGCAATGGAGGTCCTGGCATCACCTTGCAGCAGTGGTCATCCCACGGTGGTCATGGGATCACTGTGCAACAGTGGTCCCATGGTGGTCCTAAGATTGCTGTGCAGCAGTGGTGATTTCATGGTGGTTCTGGTATCGCTGTGCAGCAGTGGTCATCCCATGATGTTACGGGGATCTCCGTACGGCAGTGGTGGTCCTGGGATTGCCATGCTGCAGTGGGGTCCTGGGATTGCCATGTTCTGAGTTTTTTCTACTCCATAGTAGTCCTACTTCAATTTTGCCTCTGTAGCATTATAGGCGAGAATGTATCTTTAAATTTTAAAGGCACACTAATGTCTTTTCAGGGAAGAATGTGACTACCATAGATATTGCCCTGTGAGTGGGGGCTGTGCACAGAATTTAAATCAAATAGTCTGGAATGATTTCTAGGCTGCCTAAGTCATGTGTGTCAGGGGTGCAACTTGAACGTAACACACAAGCGCAAATAACTCTGGATGTGCAGTGATTCAAGCTGATTGCAGAAGTAGTCAATGTGGTTGAAGTAACCCTTTAAGACTCTACAAGACACTTCTAAAGGCTGTGTTGGGATTTGACAAAATGCGATAAAGGGCTTGTAACGGACCATTTCAGCACACAAGGGGTAAAAACCGTTTAGGCGATCGGGCCCCCTTTCCAGAGATGTAGGCACAGCTACTGCAGAACACCAAACACACGAACCGCCAATAAGTTAATGCTATAAGCTCCCGAACGGCATCCAATATAGCACTCCAAATACACGAACAGGAACCATACGAATTGCTGCTACCAGACGAATAGGAAAAGCATCTAAGCGGCTTACACTCCTAGCAATCAGTCTCTATCAGCATTCAGTAAATCCCCCCCCCAAAGACGAGACAAGGCTCCGTGTTGAGGGTCAAGCAGTGGTCTGTTTAATGGGGGCTACCTGCCCGGTATTTATGCAGGTCTCCCACCTGGTGGACACTCCCCTAGGGGACCAAACTGTGACAAAGGACAGACAAGTAGACAAATAGGACACACAGTCATAATATATTCCCACAATGCATCCTGGCTTCCTCCCCTCTGCCCTGGGAGATAATTGAGAAGTAACTCAATTATCTCCCAAGACAAAGGCAAATCGCCATTATGCACGTGGGGATACTAAAACACGAATTACTATTAAAATACACTATGTGAGACACATTACATTAAAACTATACATTTAACATATCCCCAGATAGCTCAGGTCTGAGCGCACATTATTAAGCGAATGGCGCTCAGACCACACGAATACAGTTTAATCGCCATGGAGCCAAAGTCTTTACAGTCAGTTTCATACGAATGGGCTCCATGGGATTCCTATCTGGGGTATAACACATTCAAACAAAACTACCGAACACCGGGCCGTTCGTGCACTTCCACCGAACAAGAAGGGAGGTCGGCGGCTTCAGCGGTGTTCGCGCAAAACTATGTCCGATTTTAGTTCCATGAAAATAGGGGTGAACACCGCTGTGCATTCGTATGTTTAAAATGGCCGCGACCTCGTGTTCAGGGAGGTTAATTGTCGGCACACTCCAGCTCCCAGGTGGTCCAGTCATTCGTACGGTTGTTCGGTAGATTGAATCTACCGAACACCAGGCAGAAAAGCACAAATGAAGCTTTTCTGAAGGTAAAAAATATGTCTTTTAACAGGGGGCCATAGTCCAAAGGCAGCAGGCGAGCAACTAGGCTTCTCCAATGCAATGTGGCGGGATTGGTCTCGTCACAGGGCTTCTGAAACATTCTGCCTGCGACATCTCTCCGTTTCTCCTCTGTCCTCTTACACAATGTACAATATGCCCCCTCCCCCGCGTTACCTCCCCAATGGCAGTGCCATTTTGATGTATAAATGTAGTGAATATTCTGTAAAATGTTTTTTTATCCGTAGGTCAGCCTTCAATGACCACTGGCCACACAGTGTCCTTGTTCCTGTAGCTGTTGGGATAGGAGGTGTAATGGTTGGATGGATGATTTGTGGACGCAAACCTAAAACCATTGAAATGGGTGATGGATGGTGGGGATCTGGTCACAAATCTTATGTACAAAGTGAGGACACCAGCGTGCGCCCATTCACTATAGAGGAATCTGAAGACGTCATTAAGGTAATGTGTTAATTTTCTCCCTGACCTTCCACCAATGCACCAGAGTGGTTACCTTGGACCTTAAAGGAACTCTTTGCACTTTGTTATATTTCTAGATTGGGTATAGCAATATGTCTTTTTTTACAAGGACTAGCCTTTAGCAACTAATCCTTAAACACGTAGCAAGAGGCATTTACATATAAACATACATTGCACTGAAGAACAGCTGAAGGTGGATATAGTTACAGGAAGCACTTCCTCACAGGTGACACTATCTTCAGTGTGGCATCCATCTTCATCTCCTGGTGCTTCCTACACCAAGAAAATACATCAATGCCATATACTCTCACCTCTACCACCACCACGTTGAGGATGAAGTTAGTTGGATTCACACCAACACGTTGAGGATGAAGTTAGTTGGATTCACACCAACACGTTGAGGATGAAGTTAGTTGGATTCACACCAACACGTTGAGGATGAAGTTAGTTGGATTCACACCAACACGTTGAGGATGAAGTTAGTTGGATTCACACCAACACGTTGAGGATGAAGTTAGTTGGATTCACACCAACACGTTGAGGATGAAGTTAGTTGGATTCACACCAACACGTTGAGGATGAAGTTAGTTGGATTATCCGCCGCTACCAAGGTCTCATGCTCTCGGAGTGTTATAGTTTAGTGTCTTGTTTACCACTAAAGAGAGAAGCAATTCATTAACAGTATAAATATACAATACGTGAGTTTTATCATTATTGATGTTAACAGTACAAATAAAGTTGAATGGTCAATAAAGATGACAAACTTACAGACGGACGTCCAGAACCATGAGCCCAGTGAAGAGAAACAAAGAAAACACAATTGTAAATAACATTCAATTTCATGGGAAAAGCAAAACATCTGATAACCACTACTCCCATATTAAACTGATGGGGGAAAAAAACAAAACCTCTATAGACATTATACAGTATAATACATTTAGTATAAACAATGTCAACTAAGAGAAAATGTGAATACAGCAAACATCCCCAATGAAACCAAGGGAAGGTAGGAGGAATAAAATAAAATAAAATATAATAAAACTCAGATTATCAGACATCAAGGATAGTGTGATCTACAATTTTAAGGCAGGACAGGAAGCTCATTTTTTGCATTTTTAAAGCTAAGAACCAAAAATAAAAGGTGCGGAAAGTAGATTCCTGTGTCCAGTACGTTGAACAGAGAATATCACCTAACTTGGCACCACCTAAAAAGAACTAGATGGCGCAGCTCTATGAACCGAATGAGCCCCGAATGACAGGGAATTACCCACAAGAGAGTATAGCCACCGAATCCACCCAACAAGAGTAGCCAAGGAAACCGAATGATGTGGGGGAGCATAGGAAATGAGAAGCCGCCGTGCTGAAATAGTTCTCAATGACGCCAAATTGCTCGGAAAGCAAGCAGCAATATACACATTTGCTCATCACAGAAAAAAATGCATAGAAGATATCTTCCTGAGAATAGAGAAGGAGACACCTTCTGGAGAAGGCGAATTCTACACACGTACATTCGACACCAGATGAAAAGATACAAAGTACAAAGGTATGGCTACTGGAATGCTGAGAAGGAATTACCGGGTCGAAGAAGATACCGCAGATCGACGAAAGACGTAACTGGCAGGAGAGCAGATAAGGGCCGCTGAAAGCAGCATAAAATTGAGGCAGAAACTGAGAAGGGCTCCCCTGAAAGGAAAAGACCCCAAGGAAACCTAACTGAAAGAACAAAAGGGAGAACAGGTCTCGAAGACCCAAACACCCCCAAACTATACACAGAACCCAGAGGAAATATCCCCACACACTATATATAAACCCACAGTGACATAAGCCATAAATGTATATATTTAGGTAAAATATATGGAGTGACAATATGAATACTCTGACCTGGAGGATGAGTAGCAGAGGAAGAGGAGGGCTATTATTGGATACAAGACCCTTACCTTTTTGTTCATTAGTTAGTTTTCTTTTTGCTGAGTAAAGAAAGTTCAGCAAAATATTTGCCTCCTGTCATGCCTAAAAATTGCACTTTTTAGTTTTTTTGCACATAAATATTTCATTGCATTGAGACACCTTATTGCAATTTAATATAACTATATAGCACATTAATATTAGTTCATTTTTATATCATAAAGAATAATTTGTGAATACTTGCCCACGGTGACAGTTTATATATTTATTTATTTATAAAGCATTTCATGAAATAGGTGTTTATTCTTCACCGTGTACCATGTGAACTATCTTTGATGACCAAAAATATTATTGAAATCAAGATTTACGGTCATAACACAGTAACATACTGAAAAGCCTAAACTGATGAATTCTTGTACTGTAACTGCTGAGACTTCAGTTTGATATAAAATGTTTTTTAGGACCTTTACGAACGTCTAGATCAAACCCGCTTCTTTGAACCCCTGGAAAATTCACAATTTCATTATGGCTTCAATTCTGCTCACCTTCAGAAAATTGTCACCTACTGGAGGAATGACTTTGACTGGTCAGAGCAGGTGAAGAACCTCAATAGATACCCCCATTACAAGACTACTGTAGAAGGTAAGTCCTCTGTATCATCCAGTGAAGTGCAACATGAGTAGATCTTCTATGTTACCATCTCATATTTATATGTTTAGACATTAATCTAATGTGTTTGTTACAGAATATTAATCTCCACTATACTTTTATAGGGCTAGAAGTGCACTTTATGCATGTCAAGCCTTCTAATCTTGCCCCTGGACAGAAGGCTCTGCCGCTCCTTATGGTCCATGGTTGGCCTGGGTCGATTTATGAGTTTTTCCGCATCCTCCCACTGCTGACCGAGCCAGGAAAGCATGGTCTGAACCCAGACCCTGTGTTTGAGGTCATCTGTCCATCAATCCCTGGATATGGCTTCTCCGAGGCATCGCACAAGGAAGGTGAGGTGGACAATTTAAAAAAAAAAAAAAAAAGGGACGAGTACAGAGATATAGCAAGTCATGGCATACTCCATGGGTATAGTTTTTAAGTTAAGGTTTATTAGTGCAAAGCAAGTTTGCCTGCTGGAATACTGAGAGAATATAACGGACTGACTTGTTGGTCAGTTGCTAATATGCAAAGTGCAAGCAGCATGTCTCCAGTGATTGTACAGGGATCATTTTCAGGATATCTGCCACGCAAAGAAAGGTTAACATTGTTTATTGTATTATAGGTAATATAGGCTGCAATAATAAAAGGAAAAACCACCTTACATATTTTATACTGGCATTATTCACTACCTAATGTAGGCTATAACATGTAAGGAAATTCTAATGACTTGTGATTCAGGAAGAAGAATTCTCCACCCATGGGTGCAGGTGAGTGATAACATGATTGGATTTGTGTTTTGCTGTTGGTTTTTGCATGAAGGTTTTTTTTAATGCAGGATGAGTAGATCTGCAAAGTGTTAAAGGGACACTATAGTTACCAGAACTACAGCTTATTGAATTTGTTCTGGTGAGTAGAATCATTACCTTCAGGCTTTTTGCTGTAAACACAGTCTTTTCGGAGAAAATGCAGTGTTTACATTACAGCCTAGTGATAACTTCACTGGCCACTCCTCAGATGGCTGTTAGAGATCCTTCCTGGGTCATGGCTGCCAAAAATGCATCCAAACATTCAGTATCTCCTCTCTCTGCATGCAGACACTGAACTTTCCTCATAGAGATTAATTGATTCAATGTATCTCTATGAGGAGATGCTGATTGGCCAGGGCTGTGTTTGAATTGTGCTGGCTCTGCCCCTGATCTGCCTCCTTATCAGTCTCAGCCAATCCTATGGGAAAGCATTGTGAGTGGATCAGGCTACCACTTCTGCTGATGTCAGCAGGCAGTGGGCAGGTCTAAAGGAAACCGACACAAAGCCAGCAGCTCCAGACTTGAACACCAGTAAGATTTTACTATATTTAGGGAAGCAAGAGGTTGTCAGGGTGGCTAGATGGTGGTTTTAACACTATAGGCTCAGGAATACATGTTTGTGTTCCTGACCCTATAGTGCTCCTTTAATACATTGAATGAACTTTCCATGTGTCTCTTCCAACAGGGTTCAATTCTGTGGCTGCCGCCCGTATCTTCTACAAGCTGATGCTCCGATTGGGATTTAAAGAGTTCTATCTGCAAGGGGGGGACTGGGGCAGCCTAATTACAACTAATATTGCTCAGATGAAACCAGAGTGAGTACTTGTTACTTCTCACTTGCGTTCTACCATGGACTACCTCCTTCCATGGTCTACATTCCATTAATGTTATCAAGTGAAAACCACAAACGCCCCTCTAGCAGACACATTGTGTCTTGTACCTTCTTTATCCCATTTTCTCTACACTTAAAACCTGTGTGAGCAGGGCTCTAGTTATCACGTGTTCCAGTTCTGCCTAACGGAGTTCATTGCTACTTGTTTACATAGTTTACCTAACTTCAATACATGGAATTACTGATAACACAGGTAAATAGTAACTTTGGGTGAAACCTTGTTTTCCAGGTCTATAAAGGGTCTACATATAAATTGCGTCTTTATGCCAGCAGGAGGCCTGAAACAAATTCTAACTTTGCTTCTTGGGAGATACCTACCTTGGTTGGTGGGTATGAACACGGAAGACGTCAAGCGTATATATCCGTACTTCGAAAAGAATGTGTACGCACGATTACGCGAGTCTGGATACTTGCATATCCAAGCTACCAAGCCGGACACTGTGGGTAAGAGATTGGTGGCTGTTTCATTTTCTTTTCATTGCATTTCGAAATATTGTGAGCAAAACCACATTGTAAAACTCAGGCCAAATATTCAACCTATTAATTGATTAAGAGATGGCTATAGTTCAACTTCATTTTGCTTTTTTTTTTTTTTTTCTTTAAAAACCATTTTTCTTCTCTAGAGAATGTATCTCTTAGCATACAGTTCTGGCCATAGCTACACATGTTCGGCCTGTATCCATGTAGCTATCTAGTCCTATTTTAAATATGTGTAAAAAAAATTCCACTGACCTGAAAATTCCACTGACCTTTTTAGACCTGGTTAGTAGTATAGTACTTGAAACTTTAATATATACGTAAGTTCTGGGCAATGCTGCCTTGGGTCCTGGCATTCCTGTTACTTTGACATGTACCACCTATCTAGAGATTGGTGCAGACCACTTACACAACGTCATGACAGTGGTGTTCCCTGATGGCAGTGGCCTCTTTCAGCAGGATAATGCACCGTGCCACACTGCAAGAATTGTTCAAGAATTGTTTGAGGAACATGACAGAGTTCAAGGTGTTGCCTTGGCCTCCAAATTCCCCCAATCGCAATCTGATTGAGCATCTGTGGGATGTTAATGTCTATCAGGGACTACCTCCTTCCATGGTCTACATTCCATTAATGTCATCTAGTGAAAACAAACAACACAAAACCACAAACGCCCCCCTAGCAGACACATTGTGTCTCGTACATTCAGATGTCTTGTGGAGATCATGCCCCGATACATCAGAGCTAATTTTTGGCAGCACGAGGGGGTCTACCTGATATTTGGCAGCTGATTTTAATGGGTGTGTGTGGGTGTGTGTGTGTGTGTGTGTGTTTTTATATATATATATATATATATATATATATATATATATATATATATATATATATATATATATATATCTATATCTTCAAAACACTTGTTGGGTAATTCTGCATTAACATAACTGATGGAAAGACAAGGCATTTGACGTACAGCTCTCTTTTGCAAGTGTACAATCATAATTGGTGTAGATTAGGTGTTTTAACCTGAACAGCTTATTTAACCTGTTTTTTCTTCTTTTTTTTTTTTTTTTTTTAAATATGATATGTAAAAATGATGGTCAAACCTCTGTATCCCTGACAAGTGCTGGTTACTTGGTTTTTTTTTTATATGAAGTTGATAAAGCTGTCATCAAGAACGGGAATGGTATACAGGCGCACACTGTGCCCAAACCTCTCCTAATGGCTACAACTTCACTAAATTCTGGCCAAATAGCGCAGTTCACCAGCACTACATTGTTTCCTGGTCTTCTAAATGCAGAGGTTCTTCACAGGGCACCCAAAATGTAAAATCAGCAGATGTTCTTCCAATGTAGTTTACTTATTGCTTTGAGAGTGAGAGTATGAGTGATGTCATCCATGGACCCATCTTCCTATGAAGTATAAATATCCTCTTATCTCCCAGGCTCTGCTCTGAATGATTCTCCTGCTGGACTTGCTGCCTACATTCTGGAGAAATTCTCCACCTGGACAAATCCAGACTTTCGTCAGCTGGAGGATGGAGGCCTAGAGAGGTCAGATCATCTTAAATTAGCTATGATGATAATTAATTAACGGTAAATCAGGCTAGGCTATACGATTTGATTGATAAACAAAGCTCATGGTAATGGTGAAATAAACTGTGTTAGAGTTTAAATTCAAATGTTTATATGTTCTCTGACATGATGTCATTCAACATGCATAAAACAAAGATACTTTTATGTTTAGGCAAATCAAATAATGTAAGACCCCTTATTCTTGTTTTAATATAGGATTCTAATACGGATTTGTCATATTTTCCATCCCACAGGCAATATTCCATGGACGATCTTCTCACCAACGTAATGATCTACTGGACAACTGGTTCTATTGCGTCCTCTATGAGATTCTACAAGGAAAATTTTACCAGAGACATGCTGACTTCCCCAGTATACAAGTAAGCAGTAAATGACTGGGGTTATGGAGGCTGAGAGAAGATGGGAACTATGTCTATAAATTTCCAAATCAGAAGGATCTGGTGGTCGATCTTTACATTGCACTGTCTCTCCACTTTGACTTGTGTATATCTTATCCTGATCGCTAACAAACAGCAAATCATTTCTTAGAAGGTTTTTTAAGGGGCTTCACAAACCCCTGTAATAGGTTAAAAATCTCCTATCACCGTTTTAGCACAATAAATACATTAGATCTCAGTTGTATATTTTCTCTTGTTTCTTTTGTAAGCATTTGTAATAGACCTGTTAGCTCCATAGGGCAGTCTTGAAGAGTACTTAAAAAAAATTCTAGTCTTAACTGAGCAGATTCTGCAAACTCTCAGCTGGATGTTCAATTTCGAGCCAAACCTATGCTAGGTCCTGTTGTTCGATTACCTCCCATCTTCCTACAGTTTATCAATCAGAGGTCTTTATGACCCCCATGGTGTTCCAGTTGTTCTGATGGTAATAATGAGCGGGTGATGCCCTCTCTCACAGTGTTTATAATAGTAGTGCTATGTACTAAACTGATTTTTTGTTTTTTTCTTTGTTAAAGGACTGGAGTTCATGTTCCCACCGGTATCGCAAATTTCCCGTGTGAACTAATGCATGTTCCCCGTGTTTTGGCAAAGGAGAAGTTCCGGAACATTGTCACCTACACATACCTGCCCCGGGGAGGGCATTTTGCAGCCATGGAGGAACCCTTGCTGCTGGCTAAGGATGTGCAGGACTTTGTGTCCGCCGTGGAAAAATGTAAGAAATGAAGCAAACTGATAAGCGGTCAAAGAAGCTTTGGAATTGAATTACGCTGTTGACTTTGTGGCAAAATTAGATTTTGTTTTATATAAATGTTAGATGCTGAGGCAATAATAGACGTATCTGTAAAATGTAAGTTTTATAGTGATAATAAAAACATCATATTTTCGCAGCTACTTCCCTGCTTTCTGTCTACACCGCTACTCGTTATTCAAATATAAAATAAACTGTGAAAATACAAACCACCCCAAAACCACAGGCTTTTGCTATTTCTATACAAAATTCCTAAGTACCCATAGGTATATACTGTCTGGCACCAAAAAAAGATTTGAAACTAATTTTCTGTAAAATGTTGATCTCCCACATGCATAGGCGTGTGCCGGGTGTGCCTGGGTACACCCTAATCCCCGTGGCACGCCTATGGTTTGAGTCCTGCAGGAACAGCGTTCCTGCACTTTTTTTTTTGCCCCACTCACCTCTTGCCCCTGTCATGGGGGGTGCAAGAGGTGATGGATCCCCCCGCTCTCCAGCTCAGCCGCGGCGAGGGAGCTGTCTGCTCTCTGCTCCCTCTCGCCGCGCGCTGATGCCGGGAGCCGGAATATGACGTCATATTCCGGCTCCCAGCTACAGCAGACAGCCCGCGCGGAGGGAGCAGAGAGCAGACAGCTCCCTCGTCGCGGCTGAGCTGGAGAGAGGCACCCGCCCCACTGGACCCCAGGGAAAAGTCCATGCCAGCACTCCAGGTAGGAGGCTGGGTGGACATTGTTTTGTTTTTTAAATATAATAATTTGTTCTTGTGTGTGTGTCTGTGTGTTTGTGTGTGTGAGTGTGTGTCTGTGAGTGTGTGTGTGTGTGTGTGTTCAGTACATCACTAGATAACAACAGATGCCAGTACATGGGGATGGGGAGCCCACTACAGGAACTTCTTTGCACAAGGTTTATGGAAAAATCAAGTCCTTTTGCAAATTTCGTGCCAGAATAGCTAAACTGGAACAATTCTCCTGAATTCACTCTGAATTCCCAACAATTCTCACGTTAGTGAACAGCCCTGTCGGAATACTCTGTGCTGCGTCCAATCGCTGGCACGATGTCAAGTGCAGCTTGGCAGAGAAAGTGTGAAAAACAATCTCTGCAAATTCTGCAAAGGGCAATCTTTTTATACTTTCCTGCATTGTGTGCATTAAAAAAAAGGTAAAATTTTAACCAGGATCATCATTTACAAAACACAACATGGGATATATAGAAAAATATACAATCTTTATTAATAATCCGTCACAAAAGAAATTCCATAAACAACATTATAGATACAGTATCCACCAATAAAAACATGGTCACATAATAAGCTGTCAGTGTATACATTGTATCCAGTAGCAGAAACAGGAGGGGGCGTGGTTATTGGGAGGAACTGGGGGAGTGGCTATGGTTATGTGATGATTCTAAGCCCAGGGGGTGTGGTTGTTGTTACACAGTGAAGCTAAGCACAGGGGGTGTGGTTATTGCTATGTGATTATTCTAAGGGGGTGTGGTTATTGCTACGTGATGATTCTAAGGGGGTGTGGTTATTGTTATGTGATGATTCTAAGGGGGTGTGGTTATTGTTATGTGATGATTCTAAGGGGGTGTGGTTATTGATCAGGGTCACAGTCTGGGGACAGCAGGACAGAAGTCATAATGTGGCGACAGATCTTGGACAATGGCAGGTGAGAGGAATCCCCCGCCGGCAGATTTAGGTTCATTTGTAAAAATATTAAAATTTCCAAATTACAATGTATACAGTTATTACTTTATTATTTCTGTTATGCTGGTTTTTTTCCCTATTATTTTTTTCCAGGATTTACACAAAATGAACAGGAGACTTCTCACAGAATCCGATAAAGAATAAAATCAATGTTTTCTTTAGTTAGTTATTAACTCTTTCACGACAAGTGCCTTTCTAACATTAAGGTCCAGGTAATTCCCGCCGTAAGAAAGTTACTGTTTAGGAAGTTCTATAAAAAGTCACTAAACAATGTCTGGAGAGATCTAAAGCTCAGGTCTAATCACTGCTTCTTGTTCAGCAATGCAGCAATAATTCAATATACCCTCCCCCTCCTCCTGGCCTTTATCTAAATTCCTCCCCCACCTCGCATTATTACATCCCCCAATCCATTGTATTCAAATTCTTTAATCTGCATCATTAAAATCCCCCGCCTACTTTTATACAATGCTATCATCTATTTATTCCATCGTCTCCCTAAACCCTCTTTATTACATCCCCCCCAATCCATTGTATTAACATTCTTTAACCTGCATCATTAAAATCCCCCGCCTATGTTTAAACAATGCTATCATCTATTTATTCCATCGTCTCCCTAAACCCTCTTTATTAACCCCCCACCATGCTCCCCAATCCATTGTATTAAAATGACTGACGTCCAGCCCACTTTATTGAACATTGTGCCCACTTCCCAAATTTCTTCTCAAAGGCCTATTCATTGATATGCTCTACCTTCTGGTTTTATTAAGATCCTCCATAGAATAAAATGATTCCTAAGCACACCAATAGTTATTGCACAAAAATATTTTATATTTAATAACAAGGTGCAAGAAAGTGCAATCATATATATAGTACTGCGTACATATCAATGAAGTGCTAATACCACAAACCCATTCAATACATATAAGGTCCTGACCTAGAGCAGGAGACCACAAAGCTCCGGTGTCTCGGCACTTGGTCATCCTCTAAGAAAGATTTAACAGTAATAATAAAATCTTATTTTTATGTATTTAAATGACGTCTTTGATTTTCATTGAAGAATGGTAATGAACACACACACTGATTGCAGAAAAGGGGTTAATCTGGAAGATTCTGTTAGTAAAAAAGTTAATATTTAACTATAACCAGAGGAGTGATACAGTCATTATGGATTACATTGTGTGTCCTCTCACCCCTTGAAACTGAGTACAAAGTTTAAAAAAAAAAGGGATCAGCGCTCTCTATCTAATCACAAATACACAACAGAAAAGATAAAATGTGGCAGCACACCTAAAAATAGGGCTCCTTCGCAGGCTATACAACAGAAATGATACAAATAAATAGGGAAAGGTAGTGCTACTAAAAACCAAATAAGATAAATAAAAGCATATAACAGGCAGAATAAACAGAGAATATAAAGTAAAAAATAAAGAACTTAAAAGTCCAGGGTAGATAGTCTGAATGGTAGATGAATCCAACACCGAGGTGTTGCTTTATGGAAGGGGGTACAGTCTTTCATAATTGGTGTGTTCTCCAGAGTGGTATAGATGTGTCTTTGTAATTCATATGAAAATAGATAAAAATAACAACTGATGATGTAGTATGTCCCAAAAGGGGTAAAAGCAGTATAAAGAATACATGGTCCTCACGTTTTTTAGAGCTATAAACTTAGCTCTAGTGTTGATAACGTACATTGGTACAATCCCCACTTATGGAATACGTGAGGTCTTTGTATTCTTGCTTGATTGGGGAACCATATGTGAAATTAAAAAAGGGTCCCTTTTTTGATTCTTGCAGTAGTGTTGGCTCTTGTAGATATGCTATAAAATATAAGATATATGGTGCAGTATGTCAAATTCAAATAAAAAAAAAAGAATAATAACGGTTATGCACTCACATGTGCCAGAGCCTGGAAAGCGGCTCTCCAGATTTATCTTAAAGTGGTATAATCTCCACTTGTGGATGTTGAGGGTGGTGGTCTTACTCCAAGGATATAGATAAAAGGAAAAGACAAATGAAAATAGTGACCACGTGTAGAGTGCAAGATAAAATTAAATGGATAAAAACTACTCACGTTTAATAGAGCAGATAAAAATTGCTTTGTCTAACAGGCTTAGCTGGTACCATCCCCACAAAGGACATAGATGTTCAGGAAATCCAGAAGCAAAACAGGTCGCATAAAAAACTTTTATTAATAAAAAGATTTTAAAAAATAATATAAAAATAAAGAAAAAGCTATATAAAACAATATTAGGGTACACTTGATACATTTCACCATAAAAAGGCTTTATGTAAAGTGTTATTGGAAGAGATGCATTCCCCCCTCCCCCACCTCCCCACCACCAACACACACACTTCTCAATTCTCACACGCTTCTCCCACTGATTATGTGGCTCTCACGCAGATATAATAAGCACGCTGCACCCAGAATGTCTGTATGAGATTCCCACAATCGTAAGTTTGGCACACACAGCGCACCCAAACAGGGCCAGATTTTACTTTAACTGCGTCTATAGAAACAAGATTTGAGAAACATCCCCTTCTCCCTAAAAAAAAAAGGCTTAATTTTATTAGACAAGAAAGGAACAAACAAATAGATACATAAAACCCAGCACATAAAGTGTTGAGAAGTCACTATATCTCCTGGAGATTAAAGTAGTTATGAAAATAGTAACGGTAGGGGGGCGGGGCCTGACCGCAGAGCCGAGTGGTCGACAACCTCATGGGCTCCTGCATGAATCCGCTAATTAAACTATTTTTCTCGACCCAAACAGAGATTAATCGAGCCGTTAGAGCCAGCAATTGACAGGGAATACTGAGCGGAACATAATGATACCCCTCAAGCGGCGAAACGAGAAATTAATGCCGGAAGAACGTCAGAGGCCTACTTGACAGGTGGGAGCAGGAGAGACAACTTCTCTCCCCCCGCCACGACCAAGGGCCTCGGCCGGTGGAGGTCATCCTGGTCCTCCAGCATAAGGCAGTCACTCACCTCTGGGACACAGACCCAAGCCACGCCGTCCAGACGGCAATACGAGGCCTGGCCAAGATGGCTGTCGGCAGGGCTATTAACCTGCAATGGCAGAATGATGAGGACTGGGCATCGGCTTTCAAGGCTTAATTCGATGCAATCTGCCAGTGCTTCTGGGACCGCATCGAGGCTAGGTGCCCACGTCCTGCACCGGTACCGGTACCTGCCTCAATGGCAACGAGCCAAAGCACACCCCCTAACACGCAGATGGGCCACACGAATAAAGAGCATCCACCGCGAGAGAGGTCACAAGAAACGGAGACCCGGAGGACAAAGCAAAGACCGGGTATATCCCGCATGAAACTGCCACGCAAAGGTCGGGCAAAGGTGCCACAGAAATGGGTGGGAGGCTCCTGCAGACCGTCCACCACCAAGCGGGGTCCCAACAGACCACAACCAGCAGGGCACCACCACCAGACAAAACGTTAAGCGTGGGAAAAGCCAGAGGACTGCTTTTGGGGCACCTCTCGCCACCTTGTATTATATATTTGCACTGCAAAAATAAAGAATTCAAATATATATATATATATTTTTAAAGTACAAAAAAAAAAAAGAAAATAGTAACCGTACAGACATAAAGATACCTACAATTAGGTGAGTATGTAGTATAAATAGGATCTGCTAAAAGATGATGAAGGAAGGAATAATAATAGCAAAGAAAATCCTAAGGCTCCTATGTAACAAATATATAACGACAGACTCAGAATCATTGAGCTCAGGTGGAGTCCAAATAAATACAGCTTTACCAGTTATGGCTCTCAGTGTAAGAGAACATCCCCCTTGGTCATATATCTAGTGTTATATAGTAAGATAACTCCTGGTCACATATATCCTATGAATCTGTGTATGGTAGATCTTAGTGATGTACTAGTAGCTCAATCTATAGACTAATTTTCCTTCTCCCTAGACGTACTTAGTATATCAGTAGATCTATGGTGCTCTTTAGGGGTAATCAATCAGGTATCTAATAGGATATAGCAAATATAAGAAATATTGAACAGCTAGGTCAAGTTGTCAAAATTGTATACACTTGTATCCTTGTCAAAAATTACTATCAGAGTTTAAAGGTAGAGAGTAGAAAGTGAAAAGTCTATTGCCGGCCAAATTAGCCGGCCCGGTAGTAATAGGATTCAATAGCCTCTCTCCCTGTTAAACTAGATAGACATAGGAGCAGAAAATAGTTAGAAGAAATTATAACAACATGTAATTCAAAACTTGCTAAATCAAAGTGCCGTGCCCAGTACCTATGACCCAGGAAGAAAAACACCAATTAATTTTATTAGAGTAGGCATTAGGTTGCTAGAATAGGACCTGCCAAGAATGGGGTACATTGACGTTGTTGCAGGCTTATGCAATGTATGACAATATACTGTAAGTATATTTAGCAACAACGAGAAAAAATACTGCAAGTTCTCAGTGCATAAATACTCCTGAGGCTTGCTGCATTACCTGGAGATCAAAATATAGCTATGTAGTCCTATCAATAAATCAACTAACTAATAATATAAAGACTACTAGAAATCAGATATAGTTAATAAAAAATGTATACATAATGACAGTGGCGTACACATGACCCATGGGGCCCCGGTGCAAAAATTGATCCGTGGGCCCCCCCCCGCGTGCGGGCCGGGTCGCAACACATGGCGGTGGGCACCTGGTTGCAGGGGTTACAGGGCTGCGACCCCTGCGACTGCGGTATGTACGCCAGTGCACACACACTTAAAGGACCACTCTAGGCACCCAGACCACTTCAGCTTAATGAAGTGGTCTGGGTGCCAGGTCCAGCTAGGGTTAACCCATTTTTTCATAAACTTAGCAGTTTCAGAGAAACTGCTATGTTTATGAATGGGTTAAGCCTTCCCCTATTTCCTCTAGTGGCTGTCTCATTGACAGCCGCTAGAGGCGCTTGCGTGCTTCTTACTGTGATTTTCACAGTGAGAGCACGCCAGCGTCCATAGGAAAGCATTATGAATGCTTTCCTATGTGACCGGCTGAATGCGCGCGCAGCTCTTGCCGCGCGTGCGCATACAGCCGACGGGGAGGAGAAGAGGAGGATCGGAGGAGGAGAGCTCTCCGCCCAGCGCTGGAAAAAGGTAAGTTTTACCCCTTTTCCCCTTTCCAGAGCTGGGCGGGAGGGGGCCCCTGAGGGTGGGGGCACCCTCAGGGCACTATAGTGCCAGGAAAAGGACCACTACAGACACCCAGATCACATCAGCTCAATGAAGTTGTCTGGGTGTCAGGTCCCTCTAGTTTTAACCCTGCAGCTGAAAACATAGCAGTTTCAGAGAAACTGCTATGTTTCACTGAGGGTTAATCCAGCCTCTAGTGGCTGTCTCACTGACAGCCGCTAGAGGAGCACACTGAACGTCCATAGGAAAGCATTGAGTAATGCTTTCCTATGGGCGGTTTGAATGCGTGCGCGGTCGCATTCGGAGCTGAGAGGCTGAGGGATCCCCAGCGCCAAGGGAGTCCGGCGCTGGAGAAAGGTAAGTGCTGAAGACACACACACACTTACAGACGCATACACACTAGCTAACAGACACACACATTTACTGACAGAGATACAGTCAGCGACAGACATACATACACACTCACTTACAAAACATACACTCTCATTGACAAACACGCACTCACTAACAGACATCAAACAGACTCACTAACACACACACACTCAGTAAGACACACACAGTAACACACTCACTGACACTCACTAGCAGACACACACACTAACACACTAACACTCACTAGCAGACACACACTAACACACTCTAACACTCACACTAACACTCACACACACTAACACACACACACAGTCACACACACTAAACACACACACTAACACTCACTCTACTCACACTCACACACACACACTAACACACACACATGATTTTTTTTTTTTTTTTAATATAATCCCCCCAGCCTCCTTACCTCTTGGAGTGCTGGGGGGGATTATTCCCTGGGGTCCAGTGGGGCTCCTGTGCGGGTGGCCGGTCGGGCAGGCAGGCAGGCGGGCGCGCGAGGGAGCACTCAGTGCTTCCTCTTCAGCTCCCTCGCGCGCCGCCTAAGGATGCCGGCGCCGGAAGATGACGTCATCTTCCGGCTCCGGTATCAGTGCGGTGCGCGAGGGAGTTGAAGAGGAAGCACTGAGTGCTCCCTCGCGCGCCCGCCTGCCTGCCTGCCCGACCGGCCACCCGGGGTCAGCAGGGGTCACCAGGGGAAGAGGCTGGCCCTTGGCGTACATACCGGGTCGCAGGGGCGGCCGGGCCCCCTGGTGGGCCGGGCCCGGTCGCAGTCGCGACCCCTGCGACCCTGGTATGTACGCCAGTGCATAATGAATAATCCTATAAAGGTGATACTAATACTCCCATGTCCCCCAGATTACCAAGTCCCATAGGTAGATATCTAGAGTCCATAAAAACTGAACAACCAGCCCTATCTCTATCACCACTTTATTAGAAAAAATATATTTTTATACTGAAATAGGGATGAGTCCAGTAAAAGAAAAATATATATGTAGATAAAAGATACCTAGAAAATTACTATCTCTGGGTACACACTCCTAAATCCTAACTCAGATCCATATGCTGGGTATGATAATTATATAAATGTCAAAAGATACCTCTATCTGAAACAGAGGCAATATATGTCAAGAATATAAGACTCCTCCAATTGCATACAAGAAAGGATTAGGTATAAAGCACAGAGAGAGAATAGAGATAATAAATCAAATGTACAGTTTCTAAGAAACTGACAGTATATAGTTAAGAAGCCTCTCTCCCTGTTAAGCTAGCTAGATAGACATAGGAGTAGAAATAAAGAAGTGAAAAAATATATTAAACAGAAAAAAATCCCATAAAATTAGTGCCCATCATGGTGCTATATACACCAGTGCTCATAAAATATGAGAAAAACGCCCGACGCGCGTTTCGGTGCCTTGAGAGATGCACCTTCGTCAGGGGCCAGGGCGAAGGTGCATCTCTCAAGGCACCGAAACGCGCGTCGGGCGTTTTTCTCATATTTTATGAGCACTGGGCACTGGTGTATATAGCACCATGATGGGCACTAATTTTATGGGATTTTTTTCTGTTTAATATATTTTTTCACTTCTTTATTTCTACTCCTATGTCTATCTAGCTAGCTTAACAGGGAGAGAGGCTTCTTAAATATATACTGTCAGTTTCTTAGAAACTGTACATTTGATTTATTATCTCTATTCTCTCTCTGTGCTTTATACCTAATCCTTTCTTGTATGCAATTGGAGGAGTCTTATATTCTTGACATATATTGCCTCTGTTTCAGATAGAGGTATCTTTTGACATTTATATAATTATCATACCCAGCATATGGATCTGAGTTAGGATTTAGGAGTGTGTACCATGAGACAGTCCTTTTCTAGGTATCTTTTATCTACATATATATTTTTCTTTTACTGGACTCATCCCTATTTCAGTATAAAAATATATTTTTTCTAATAAAGTGGTGATAGAGATAGGGCTGGTTGTTCAGTTTTTATGGACTCTAGATATCTACCTATGGGACTTGGTAATCTGGGGGACATGGGAGTATTAGTATCACCTTTATAGGATTATTCATTATGTATACATTTTTTATTAGCTATATCTGATTTCTAGTAGTCTTTATATTATTAGTTAGTTGATTTATTGATAGGACTACATAGCTATATTTTGATCTCCAGGTAATGCAGCAAGCCTCAGGAGTATTTATGCACTGAGAACTTGCAGTATTTTTTCTCGTTGTTGCTTTCCGTGTCTACTGGGGTTAAGCCCCTTTAGGGATTCCTGGTGTCCCACTGCGGTACACAGCCTTCTGGGTGGGACCCTGACACTGTTCCCCTTTCCTATCTAGGGGGGAGTGTGTGGGTACACACCCAGATCTCTGTTTTTTCTTTTTTGTTTGCTTTTGATGTAAGTATATTTATACTAGGTGAGGTGTTTTTAAAGAAAACCTTTACGTTTTGTGAGACTTAAAATTGCTGTTTAGCGAATAAGTGAGGGTGCTGAATCTTTTATAATTACAATTCTTTTTTAATTTACAATTATAATATAATTACACACATTCTCACACACAGCTAATCACACACACATTATCACACACAGATAATCACACACATTCTAAAACACACAGATAATCACACACATTCTCTCACTCAGATAATCACACACACATTATCACACACAGATAATCACACATATTCTCACACACAGCTAATTACACACATTCTCACCCACAGATAATCACACACATTCTAAAACACACAGATAATCACACATATTCTCACACCCAGCTAATTACACACATTCTCACACACAGATAATCACATACATTCTCACACACAGATAATCACACACATCTCACCCACAGATAATCACACACATTCCAAAACACGCAGATAATCAGACACATTCTCACACACATATTATCACACACACAGATAACCACACACATTCTCACACCCAGCAAATCACATGCATCTCACCCACAGATAATCACACACACATTATCACACACAGATAATCACACACATTCTCACCCACAGATAATCACACACAGAGATAATCACACACACATTCTCACCCACAGATAATCACACACATTCCTAAACACACAGATAATCACACATATTCTCACACACAGCTAATTACACACATTCTCACGCACAGATAATCACATATATTCTCACACACAGATAATCACACACATCTCACCCACAGATAATCACACACATTCCAAAACACACAGCTAATCAGACACATTCTCACACACATATAATCACACACACAGATAACCACACACATTCTCACACCCAGCAAATCACCTGCATCTCACCCACAGATAATCACACACACATTATCACACACAGATAACCACACACATTCTCACACACAGATATTCACACACACAGATAACCACACACATTCTCACACCTAGCAAATCACATGCATCTCACCCACAGATAATGACACACATTCTAAAACACACAGATAATCAGACACATTCTCACACACATATAATCACACACACAGATAACCACACACATTCTCACATACAGCAAATCACATGCATCTCACCCACAGGTAATCACCCACATTCTCACACACATCTCACCCACAGTCCCATGTTTTAGACTCCTGTCCTGGCAAAATTGGGTCCTGGGACCTGCCCTGCAGCAGTGCGTGTATAACTTTGTGGTTCACACCCTGGCATTCATACGCGAACACTAAATACAAATACAGAATACCCTTGTGATCACGTACACACAGTCCATATTAAAACCTGACAACTTTCAAACACACAGAAAGACAAACACAAACAAACCTCAGCATTCATATGCCATCATTACACACAAATATACCCTTGCAATCACTTATACACCGTCCATATAAAAACACCCAATTTTCAGACACTGCACACAAACACACTCCGGCATTCATATGCCAACACTACACACAGAACACCCCTGCATTCAAATGCTAACACAACATACGAAATATTTAAAATAATATGTTCTGTTGGAAAAAGTGTTGGAATGATTGATAAATGAGTTGCTAAAAGGACACAAAAAAGAAACAAAACCTGACAGATTTATTAAATTTCACCAAAAAAGTTCTGAAAGTGAAATGTAAGAGAGCTGGTGACACGTTGATAAATCTCCTCGAAGTATCCCTGGAATGTCTTTTGAAATGTTTGTAACTATGGCACAGCCATCACATCCTGGCTCCTGACATTAGCACAGGACATGCGCGGCAGTGCACAATGTAAACACAGCCCCCTCGCTGCCGCAACCCCCCAGACAGAATAGAAACCAGCTGAATTGGGGTACCTACCAGACCCAGAATGGTCAATGCAAATGCCTGGTGGGCCGTGATGGCCATGGGCTGAGTCCGGCCGGGGAGATCAGTGTATCTCCCCTGCCGGCCCATACAGAGCCAGTGCTATCAGAGCGCCGGCCCTGCTGTGTGCCTTCATGGGCTGGTGGGGAGACAAACTATCTCCCCACCGGCCCACAGGCACTAAGATGCGGCTGCCGTTTGGGAATGAGAGGACCCGGAGCGTTTCCGTGGTTACTATGGCAACGCTCCAATCTTGCGAGAGTGAACTCTACCCCAGGAAGTGCAGGGTAGAGTTCACTCCTCACAGGACCACGAGGGATTTCCTACCGGACCACCTATGCTGGCAACAAGGTCCCCCCTCCCAGGCAAAAGTAAGAAGGGGGAGACATAAATATAATAAAAAAAATAATAATTTTTAAAAAAAAATACACATATATATATATTTGCTATTTTAACCCCACAGCACCCCAAACACCACACTGCACCCCAAACATCACACTACACCCTAAAAACCACACTTCAACCCTCACACACACACACTACACCCCAAACATCACACTACACCCCAAACACCACACTACACTCCAAACATCACACAACACCACACTGCACCCCTCACACACAAACACTACACTCCAAATACCACACTGCACCCCTCACACACACACCACCCCAAACACCACACTGCACCCCTCACACATACACACACACTACACCTCAAACACCACAGAGCACCCCAAACACCACAAAGCTTCCCAAACAGCACAGAGCACCCCAAACACACAGTGCACCACACACACACACACACACTGCACCACAAACACCACACAGCACCCCTCAGACACACACTGCACACCAAACACCACAGAGCACCCCAAACACCACACAGCACACTCTTCACACAAACTGCACCTCAAACACCACACACACTACACCCAAAACATCACACACACTGCACCACACACACCACACAGCACCTGAAACACACAGTGCACCCCAAACACACACTACACCTCAAACACCACAGAGCACCCCAAACACCACAGAGCACCCCAAACACCACAAAGCTTCCCAAACAACACAGAGCACCGCAAACACACAGTGCATCCCAAACACACACACACACACACTGCATCCCAAACACCACACCGAACCCCTCACACATATCACCCCTCACACACATATTGCACCCAAACACCACACAGCACCCCTCAGACACACACTGCACACCAAGCCCCACATAGCACCCCAAACTCACAGTGCACCCCAAACATCACACAGCATCCCAAACATTCAGTGCAGCCTTCACACACACTGCACCTCATACACCACACACACTACACCCCAAACACCACACACTGTACCCCAAACACCACACAGAACCCCAAACACACAGTGCACCCTTCACACACACTGCACCCCAAATACCACACAGCACCCCTTCACACAGAATGCACCCCTTCACACCACACACACTGCACCCCAAACACCACACATCACCCCTTCACACACAATGCACCCCTCACACACACACACAATGCACCCTTCACACACATACACTGCACCCCTCTCACACAACCTGCACGCTTCACACACCCTTCACCCTTCACACATCGTGCACCCTTCACACACACACAGTGCATCCCTTACACACAGTGCACCCCTACACATATTACATTCTAGACACACACAGCATACCTTATACACACACACTAAATCCCTTATACAGACACCATAGATCCCGTAGATAACTATGAATCCTCTACACACATACACACTAGAATCCCTATACACACTCTGAATCCTCTATATACACACACACACACTAACTCTCCTACGCACACTCTGGGTTCTCTGCACACGCAGATCCCCTACACACACAATAGATCCCCTATGGCACACAATGTACCACCTACACACACTACATAATGACATACACACACTAGATCCCCTGTAAGATTAGGTCCTGGGCTCTTTGAAAGCTAATATATATGTATTTGATTAATTTTAAATATAACTTTCATATAATGTTGTGTATTGCTTTTGATGCATATGATTATCAATGAATGTTTGCATTTGAGCATATAAATTCATTGTGAATGGACTTTTCTGCTTATTGTGCCAGTATTTACACAAACAGACCCACATTTCTCTCCACCTCACCCTATTTACACCCACAGACCCACATATCTATGTCCTATGTCACCACAACCCACCTTTTGTGTCTGTATCCTCCTGGCTGCATTCAATCAGCTCTCTGTCTCCCAGGTACTGCTCCACTTGTAGCTGTGTTAAGGCCGCTCTGCACAACACAGCGCTGGGAGAGTGAGGAGCCCTGAGAGGGGGAACACGCATGCTGCCAGGTTTTACACTGAGTGCAGAGGGAAGAGTTGGGAGAAGATATTGCGATAGTTGCAGACCCCCCACAGGCAGGGCCTGCAACTATTGCCGGAATAAAGCAGAAGAACTAATGCTGGGCCAGATGGGAGATCCAAGGCCCTGTCTATGCATCTGGGGCCCTGACTGCCACGGGCCCTCGGTCAGTGACCAATGTGTCCGAGTGGGCAGTCCGCCCCTGCACACACTACTTTCTCTACACACAAATGTGGCAAACCTAGCCACTTGGACATTATTTAATTACCTGCATTGGCTATCTGCCGAAAGCAGATAGCTGATTTCCTTTCGTTTCACGAACGGCACCTTCGCGGGCCGTTCGTGAACCGAATGAACTATCATTTAATAGCCCACACACTAAGAGACGTGTGGCGCTTGTTAAATGATTGCAACAATGTTGCAATCGGTAATTAGAGGCTCTCCAAGGTGGCTGTCGTTCGACTACCGACCATGTGGCGGTCGGCCATCTTGGATCCTTTGTTCCCTCAGCGGTGTTTGGTCGTTGAGCGCATGGTACTAAAAACGGCTACTCGACGGCACGAACACAGCTGAGCTTCCAGGCCGTTCGGGAGTTCCGGGACGTTCGGTATCTTGTTCCCTGGCATGCAATCGGTCTTTTGAACATATGTTTTAATGAATGTGTTTTTCGTGCGGTGTTCAGTTGTTTTAGCTGGGATCTGAGTGGTAATCTCACGAATGATGCGCTCAGACCCCAGCTATCTACCGAACGTCCATTCGTTTAAATAGACCGTATATTCAAAGAGTTATGCATTTTTATATAAATTGTCGGTTCTGCTGCATGGAGGGATAATCCACTTTACGGTACATTCCTGTGGGAGGATCCCTCTCATGCACCAGTGCCTGATGGGAGAAATGTCTTGTACAGTAAGTCCCCCATGTAGTCCCCTCTGGTAATGCCCCTGGGAGGGGACTCAGGAAACCCCTTGCATGGGGACTTGTATAAATTGTGGAGCTGGAAATAAAGACCTCAGTTGACTCCCAGCCTATGTGTCGTTTAGTTCTTGGGAAGGAAAGATTACTACCACGCTACTTGGATTACTGCATGCTGATTCCCCTGGATTATCCTTTGTTGTTCCTGTTACCCAGCGGAGATATTGTGGATTATACTGCCTCTCCGCTACAACATACACTACAGCCCCTATGCACACACTCGCTACATCACCTATACTCACACTCTCTCACTCTCTACAGCCCAATGCTACACCACAAACATATTACACCACAAACACAACACAACTGAAACCAACATTTACATGAAACACCACACCACAATCAGCTCACTCAACACACACGCAATCCCACAAGCAGGCTCCAAACACATACACAATACGCTTTCCTGGCCCTTTTGTCCTCTGGTATCCCACTTATGGAGACACCAGAGACAAGTTAAAAGCAAACACAGCGCAAGCATGTTATTAAATTTGCTTCCGCTGCACAGAACAATTACGGGGCCTTTTTCCCATGCTGGAGCTCTTCAGCGGGGCTCTGCGCATTGAACTAATATGCTCACTTTGAGAGGGGGCGTGCTCAGGGCTGGATTAACATAGGGGCTGATGGAGCTGCAGCTCCAGGCCCAGGCCCATGGAATAGGCCCATTGATTTAAAAAAAAAGTTTTGTTTTTTACATTTTTTTTTCCTCACACACTACTCTTAGGGATTCCACCTGGCTTTTATTTTATTGGCACAGCCAGTATTTGAGGCTGCCTGGCTGGTGCCAATATTGCAGTGATACTGGCAATATAAATGCTGGTATTTTTCTCAGTATAAATGGAGATTACTCTGCAATACCAGCACTGGCCAGTAGGGGTCGCTGTGTGTGTAGAGACAGGCAGGGATAGGAAGTTCCAGCATATCCCTCCCTGCCTATCTATACTCAACTGATCTGCAGGGGTGCAGCTACAGAGAGTCCAGACAGCAACTCCCACCCTGCAGAGACAGCCTACAGCTCAGGGCAGTAAGGGATGGGGGAAAGGCTGCAAGGATACATATACTGAGACACTAAGGGACATTGGGAGACATTATGGCAGACACTGAGACACTAAGGGACATTGGGAGACATTATGGCACAGACACATGGGGACACAGTGTCCCCATGTCTCCCAGCCAGTGTCCCTGGTGTCTCAGTGCCCCTTAGTCTCCCAGTGCCCCCAGTCTGCCAGTGTCTCACTGTTCCCATGTCTCCTAGTGCCTCCATGTCTCCCAGTGCCTCAAGTGTCTCAATGTCCCCATGTCTCCAAGCTAGTGTCCCTAGTGTCTGTGGCCCTGGTGTCTCCTTGTCCCCATGTCTCCCAGTGCCCCCATGTCTCAATGTCCCCATGTACCCCAGCCAGTGTCTCTAGTGTCTGTGTCCCTGGTGTCTGTGTCCCCATGTCTTCAAGTGTCCCCTATTTTCCCATTGTCCCCATGTGTCCCAGCCAGAGTCCCCTAGTCTCCCAGTGTCACTGGTGTCTCCGTGTCCCTAGGTCTCCACGTGTCCAAAGGTCTCCCCGTCTTCCTAGTGTCCTAGTGACATGGAGACCCTGGGATACATAGGGACACAGGGAGACATGGGGCATTGAGACACTGATACATGGGATCACTGGGAGACCTGGGGACACGACACTAGGGGACACTGGGAGACATGGGGCACTGAGACACTGATACATAGGAACACTGAGACCTGGAGTAATCGACACATGGGGGCACTGGGAGACATGGGGCCACTGGGAGGAATCCATCTATACAGCAGATTTAAACTAAGTAGTTTTTTGGTGATTTTACAGCATTTTCTCTTATGTCACTCCTTGTGATTTACATCATGTGATGTCACCCACACATATTTAATTATGCAAATTAGTAAGGCCGGTATGTTTTTCCAAGAAAGGTGGCAACCCTAACTACTTTTTACATACTCTTACTTAAGTTTGGAAGCTTAACAGGGATGTATGGGAACAAAACTTGTGTGGACTGGCTGACAATGAATATAGTTAAAGGGACACTAGAGTCACCAGAACAACTACAGCTTATTCAATTTGTTCTGGTGAGTAGAATCATTACCATCAGGCTTTTTGCTGTAAGCACGGTCTTTTCAGAGAAAATGCTGTGTTTACATTACATCCTAGTGATAACTTCACTGGCCACTCCTTAGATGACTGTTAGAGATCCTTCCTGGGTCATGGCTGCCTAAAATGCATCCAAACATTCAGTGTCTCCTCCCTCTGCATGCAGACACTGAACTTTCCTCATAGAGATTCATTAATTAAATTCATCTATATAAGGAGATGCTGATTGGCCAGGGCTGTGTTTGAATCATGCTGGCTCTGACCCTGATCTGCCTCTTTGTCAGTCTCAGCCAATCCTATGGGGAAGCACTGTGATTGGATCAGGCCACCACTTCTAATGATGTCAGCAGACTGCTTGTTTTTATGAGTCTAACAACATGCAGAGTTACAGCTTCAGGCTTGAATATAGTAGATTTTGCTATATTTATGGAGGCATGAGGGGCCCAGGGGGGCTAGATGGTGGTGTTAACACTATAGGGTCATGAATTCATGTTTGTGTTCCTGACCCTATAGTGATCCTTTAAGGTAATGCTGACTTTGGTCTCTCTAACACTGTGGCATGTTCCCTTTCTTCTACACTCACTACATACAGCTTTTCTCTGTCCCAGACCATATACCAGGAGCTTCTGCCTGCTAGTAAGAAGGTAAGGAGACAAGTGGACCAGCGAGTGCTAGGGGACAGTCCTTAGAAAGCGTTGAGTGAGCGCATCATTAGATGCATTTATGCCAAGCTCAGGGTGCTGTCTGCATAGTATGCCCTTAGTTGGCCAGCTGCATGATTGGCAGGCAGCCTGACATGCATTCATACCAGGCTGGCCTTCTAATTTTTTGGGCAGACATGTCCTCTTTTTGGGCATGTTCGCCCCTTTTGGCAGGTTACGTGATTTGTGTCAGTGGCACACCCTTTTACCATGCCCATTGACTTCCTGCTTGACTGGACACTGCTGTTAGGGGTTATGGATTTACTTGAAAGATGAAAACATAAATTAGAGAGAGATTAGCCTAGGGTATGTGTTTTCTCATAGCTGCTGTTTTCTTTCTCTCCAGCACCATCTCCATCAGATACATGATGCTTGGGAGTGTTTTACTGTTTTTGGTCGATATGATTCTGTAATTAGGCCCATCATAATTGTCAGCACCAGGCCCACTGGGCTCTTAATCTGGCCCTGGGCGTGCTTGTCATTAGTGATGACAAAACACCCCCCTTTCTGGCCCCACCCCCTTCTCAGTGGGCTGCTGTGATTTTTTTCCCCAATCCAACCCTGGTACCTACTGTGTCACATTGAGAGCCCACCGAAAAACAGGCTGCACCCTCTATGGCGTACTAAGGGGGGACGCCAGGGCTGCATTACACTCATGCCATCTGTGCACACAGTTATTCACTAAACTATCGCTTTTAGAAAGACACATTCCATTTTTATAAGCGGTTCACGATTGTGTTTATTAAATGTGAGTTGTACCCTCAATGTTACAAATTGTAGGCTCCCTCAATGTACTTTTATGAAATAGATACATCAGCAGATCAGCTGCAACTGATAAAAATATTCAGAAATATGAACAGCGAGGAAATAGCTGCAATAATGAAAGTTACGTCTAATTTTTTCCATTTGTGTCTTGACTAGCAAAAAAATCTGTATAGCAAAAATAATAATGTCACTGTAACAGTTTGACTATTAAATAACTACTACTATTTATTTATATGTATTTATATTTGTATATCTGTTAGTCTAGATCACTTTTTTTGTACTTTATTTTATTGCAATTTATATGTATCTATAAATTGTTTAGCAATGAAAACGATGTATATGGAATAGTTTATATAATTGCTTAAAATATATGCACAAGGCACTTCAGAGATAATCATTCCATGTTTTTCTTTTAGATAGATGACTCTTTAAGAAAAATAGATTTTAGGAATCAATAGAAAGAGTCACACTGTTGGTGGGTAGTCTTTTTTAAATTTTTGTTTGTAGTGACTGTAGGTTGTCCTCTTCCCAGGTTGGTCGTTAATGAGCACTGGCCTGGCAGTGTTGTAGTCCCAGCTGCTATTGGGATTGGGGGTGCCCTGGCTTGCTGGATATTGAGAGGACGGAAGAAAAAGTCTATTGATTTGGGTGATGGGTGGTGGGGACAAGGCCTGAGACCTCATCTACAACTTGAGGACACCAGTGTGCGACCTTTTCACATCGAGATTTCAGATGCTGATATTAAGGTACATACACAATATCTAAATCTATATTAGGGTTAGGCAACCGTAAGGACTTCAGATGATGTGGACTACATCTCTCATAATGCTTTTACAGCCGTGATGCTGGCAACACATCAGGGGAGATGTAGTCCACAATATCTGGGTTGCTGGAGGATGCCTATTCCTGAGCTATATAAAAAGCTGATTATGAGAAGATTTATCTGTAACCGAATTCTAATGTGAGACTTTGTGTTTTAATATATAATAAATGTGTTGCTCCATATGGTAAATGCTCTATACTGATGGTCCTATTCATTTCTTATTCACCGACACATCTTAATTCTGTCTGTTTACATTGTTTATAATTGGATTTTGAAACTGTCTGCATACACTCACATTTTCTGCCAGCCACTCCAAATTAATCAAGGTTCCTCTGCTTAGTTTTAGTTTGTGGATATGGGGCACGTGGTAAATATTCTTGCATGTCGATTCTACTCTGCAATGATTTGAACAAGTGCATGACAACATTTAGTTAGGCATATAGGTACGGCGTGGACAATGTCATTGGGTGGACAGTGGGAATGTATATAAGAATCCTCACCAGTTTCATCAAATGCTCAAAATGTAATAGTTCCTGCTACTCAAAACTTTGGTTTAGTGTCTACCTGTCGCCTGCCTTGACCTCAGATTTTAAGTGGGTTCATTGGAATGGTGAAATTATCGTAGATGAAGGTTGGAAAGTTAGATGTGAGGAAGCCAAGCAGAAAAATGGTCAGTAGATGGTAGAGGAGAGCCAGGGAGGGTTAGATCACATCAGTGCTTGCAGAGAGGGCATGGAAAAGGCAGATAAAACAAATTAAAAAAATGGACAAATGAGCAATGGAAGGCGAGCAAAAACCCCTTACCACCAGCCTTATTGTCACATTGTCTGGGAACATGATGCCTATGAAGACACATGTGTATTGAGTGCTTCCAAGACCTGTCCAAATATGTTTTTGGGGTTTTTTAAATGAACAAATCAGAGTTTTAGGTTTCTTGTTTTTAAGACGTGATATTGAATGCTACTGGCTACTGAGCTAACACAATTATCCAAGTGAGTTGAGAATTTGAAGAATGGGAATGACGATCCAGAAGGTCTCACAAGGTCAGAGAGTGACCTGAGAAGGAAAAAGGATAAAGTTGATGCGACACTGGAACAACGAGACAGTTTGATGATACTAAGATATGTAACAGGGTTGATGTTCCAGGAGGGATAAGCCAAATGACAAATGATTTAGGTAAACTCGAAAAATGGTCAGAATCGTGGCAACTGACATTTAATGTGGATAAGTGCAAGATAATGCATCTTGGACGTAAAAACCCAAGGGCAGAGTACAGAATATTTGATAGAGTCCCAACCTCAACATATGAGGAAAGGGATTTAGGGGTGATTATTTCAGATGACTTAAAGGTAGGCAGACAATGTAATAGAGCAGCAGGAAATGCTAGCAGAATGCTTGGTTGTATAGGGAGAGGTATTAGCAGTAGAAAGAGGGAAGTGCTCATGCCATTGTACAGAACACTGGTGAGACCTCACGGAGTATTGTACACAGTACTGGAGACCGTATCTTCAGAAGGATATTGATACCTTAGAGAGGGTTCAGAGAAGGGCTACTAAACTGGTTCATGGATTGCGGGATAAAACTTACCAGGAAAGGTTGAAGGATCTTAACATGTATAGCTTGGAGGAAAGACGAGACAGGGGGGATATGATAGAAACATTTAAATACATAAAGGGAATCAACACAGTAAAGGAGGAGACTATATTTAAAAGAAGAAAAACTACCACAACAAGAGGACATAGTCTTAAATTAGAGGGACAAAGGTTTAAAAATAATATCAGGAAGTATTACTTTACTGAGAGGGTAGTGGATGCATGGAATAGCCTTCCAGCTGAAGTGGTAGAGGTTAACACAGTAAAGGAGTTTAAGCATGCGTGGGATAGGCATAAGGCTATCCTAACTATAAGATAAGGCTAGGGACTAATGAAAGTATTTAGAAAATTGGGCAGACTAGATGGGCCGAATGGTTCTTATCTGCCGTCACATTCTATGTTTCTATGTTTCTATGTTTCTATGAGTTGCTTGAACCCTGATATGTGTGTCCCATAGTTGAACAACACCTTGGGAGCAGAGAGAATGAGGTATACCTGAGGACAGGTGAGTGGGGAGTTTATGCACTTGGTGACCAGTGTCATTGCAATGTTTGAATCAAGGCAGGTACTGAAATATTTACAGAAAGTGGAAATACCGTACAGTCACCAGTAACTGGGTGTTGGAGACAGAAGTGTCATTTAAAGCATTAAACAAATGAAATTCATGTTCTTTGACTTGAAAAAGGTTTACTGGCAAATAAAATACAAAATGCTGGTTAAAAGGAGAACAACCAAGTCCATATTGCAAATTCTACATCTGGAGAAGAATCCAAATGTATTTTAAACAGATTAATGCAGGTGGAATGAGACAGTTTTAACGGCAAAAGAATGGAAATCAGAATACAGTGTAACCCACACAGAGCGAGTCAGGAATCGACTCTTGGATAAACAGGGATTAAATTAAGGTAATATGAAAAAAGGCCACTAAACCAACAGAAAATGTCATTATCAGGGGGGAGATTAGAGCGATTCAAAGGTAGTGAATGTCACTGAACTTGGAAAATGTTAAAAAAAGAGAAAGTGTAGGTTACAATAAACATTCAGAGGCCCAAGGTAGCAAGGATCGGAGGATAAGATCAAGAGATACATTACCAGAGCCTGGCTCTGCTGGGTCAAATGGCATATTTGGGGGGTTTTATATCTGGAGTGGGGAGCAAAGACAGATGGGGTTAATCTAGTATATTAATATCTCATTCTTTTTATATTAGGACCTTTATGACCGTCTGGATCGAACTCGCTTCTTTTCACCTCTGGAAGATTCCAAATTTCACTATGGTTTTAACTCTACTCACCTCAGGAAGGTTGTCTCCTATTGGAGGAACCAGTTTGACTGGCAGAAGCAGGTGAAGATCCTTAACAGATATCCCCACTATAAAACCACCATTGAAGGTATGACTCTATAGTTTACTCTATTAAGAACAGTGGGCTCTAGGAACATATTAAGTCAAGTATTCTAGCTGAAGATACAATTACTGTAATAACCCTTACAAACCTTTGACATGTTTAATGATGATGGATGACTGGAAACAGGGATTTAAACCTTCACGTACACCTTCATCCAAGACTCGTGTTATATTCCTTTATTATCTTACTTATGTGAGATTCACTTTTTTCTCTGCATTCAAAATTGATATTCAACAGTATCACATATTACTTGAATGTGAGGCCACAAGCACATCTATAATATTTGTTCCAAGACATTTATCACCCTCATTGTGATTCTATGTTATTTCTCTTTCTGTTTTATAAATAAATTATCATTAATAAAATCAGGTTTCAGAATTTTAAGAATATTATGTCTCTGACAATAATAATACAATTTTCTTTTGTGCAGAACCTGAGCGTTTTGATGTGAGAATAATTAATATTTATATTGTGCAGGTTTGGAGGTGCACTTTATCCATGTGAAACCACCACATCTTGGTCCAGGACAGAAAGCCCGTCCTCTCCTCATGGTTCATGGTTGGCCTGGATCTTTCTATGAGTTTTATCACATTCTCCCATTGCTGACCGAGCCAGCCAAGCACTGCCTGAACCCAGACCTGGTGTTTGAGGTGATTTGTCCATCTATCCCAGGTTATGGCTTCTCAGAGGCGTCACACAAGAAAGGTGAGATCTGTGATTCTGTGACTATAGGGACGTCTAATCATCATGTAGGTAATGTGTACAGAGTTGAATGAAATGTAGAAGACAGATACAATTAAACATTGTGTAAAACTATGCTACTCCCGCTGGGTATAATGTGGTAGGTACCCTATGGGAGGTAGACTCCTTGAAGAAGACGAATGAACACATCAGAGACAGGAAAACACATGTTTAGTAAGGTTTGCGTGGTTGTGGTAGATGAATGGAATATGCAGAAGAGTGGTCAGTTATTTGGAGGTAGAATTCTTATTTTAATTAGAGCAGGGATCTCATTGATCTTTGTAGGCAACCAAACTTAAAACTGCACCATAGCATCGGAGCATGAAACATAGTAGTATGTGTTGGACACAGAAGGAGGGGTCTTGTAGAATTACACAACACGGAGTATAGTCACCCATTTCTTCCTCCACTTTTGGACTCCACCTTTAAAAGAAAAATGATCACTAAAAATGTATTTAAATTCACAAATTTCAGCATCAAATTCAATAAAAACATAAGAATTAGATACTTACAGGGTTATTTACTAAAGTGAGAAAGCTATGATTTTTACTAAAGTGAGAAAGCTAAGCTTTCATTTCAGCTTCTCTGGCCATAAATGTAAAATTTTCTTAGAATTCACTTTGAATTCTCACTTTAGTAAATAACCCTGAAAATGTTATAACAAAAAAAAGATTAATGTTAGTCGATAATGAACATCATTTATGTAATATTTAAGAATACATTTTACAGAAAAATAATATAAAGGTTGTTTTAAAGGATATTTTATTATAACTATTTTTGGATCGCAGGCTTTTCTGCTTTCGACGCTGCCAGAATCTTCTACAAGTTAATGATCAGACTCGGATTCCGGGAATTTTACCTGCAGGGGGGCGATTGGGGCAGCAGAATAACTACCCTCTTATCACAAATGAAACCAGAGTAAGTACATTCAATTCTACTTTGAGGGACAAGTTGAAAAGTCAATGTCACTATTGGACATGGAGATATTAAATGTCACCAGCTTTTACCATTTGGGTTAGCTCATCTCCTCATCCCTTCTGTCATCATGTTCATCCATCCTCTTCTACCGGCTTATACTTCATTTTTCTCAATGCTCCATGATCATCTCGTGTTTCTGTATTATCTCTATTTTAATTACTATTAGACAGCAATTCTGAGGGGTAGCCTAGGAATATAATGCACATCACTGGTAACTGGTAAATCACCTCCGCAAGGACAGAGATCCCCTGCTGTAACCTCCTGTTGTGCTTTGTGGGGACCCCCAGGCTGGTGGCGGTGAAATTGTTTTCTAAATAGTCTGTCTCTCCTAATCCTGGACTGTGGTGAGGTATACCATTAGGTCCTAACTCATTCCCAAACATTGCCACTTATACCTTCTTCAAGTTCTACCTCATTCCCAAACAGTGCCACCCATACCTTCTTCAAGTTCTACCTCATTCCTACAATACAACAGTATACCTACTTATATACACATATATACTTTTTATTAGACAACAACAAAGGTTAAGTTTTCTTCTTTCGTTTCATTCTTTTTTCGTTCCTATGGTCAGGGCATTCAGCCATTTTTAATTCCTTCATGTTCTACTTCATTCAAAAACCAGGCCTTGCTACTGCTATCAGGTTCTATTTTATTTCTAAACAATGCCTTCCCAGCACCATTCTTACTTATTCCAATATCATGTCACATCAATTTTAGTATTATTCGCAAATCATATACTTTCACCATGCTCTAGATCAGGTATAGGCAACCTTCAGCACCCCTGATGTTTTGGACTAGACCTCCAATGATGCTTTGCAGCTGCGACCCTGATATGTACTCCACTGATGTAAGAGCACCACAACATCTGGAGTGCCACAACATCTGGAGTGCCAAAGGTTGCCTATTCCTGCTTTAGATGTATGTCCCCCAGGAAAAATTCAGCCAACTTCCCATTATTATTATCTATCTCCCCATGACTGCCAAAATGATCTTCTGACATGTTCTCTCATTATTCTGATAAAGTAATCTGATTGACCGTCGTGTTCCTTTTAACATTTCGAATTGTTTCACGTGCAGGCAATTGACTTATCTTTAATCATGCTCATTCTTGTAGATCGGTCATGGGTCTCCATCTGAATTTTGCCATGCTTCCTAAGGCAGGATTTGGAATGCTTTTATCTTTGGCTTTAGGTCGATATTTTCCATGGTTAGTAGGCTTGACAAAAGAAGACGTACGACGCATATATCCTTACTTTGAGAAGAATGTGTACGCACTTCTGTTGGAGTCAGGATACATGCACATCCAGGCAACCAAACCTGACACCGTAGGTAAATAAATATGGTCTCTAGTTCTTTATACAGATCACTATGGATTGGGGAGAGTCCAAATGGAATGATTGTAATGTTATATATGAGCAATGAAAATAAACCTACACGATAAACCACTTGTCTTCCGATTAGTCTTTTTTGGATATGTGGTTGGACAACATTTTTTTTCATGTGAATTTGAAACCAAATGTTTCCCGATTCAGGCATTGTGTTTGTCTGACTGACATAGAATCAATGACTCCTTGAGCTATCGTTTCTTTTACAGGGTCTGCTCTGAATGATTCTCCAGTTGGACTGGCTGCATACATCTTGGAGAAATTTTCTACTTGGACAGACAATGAGTTCCGGGATTTAGAAGATGGCGGTCTAGAAAGGTTTATTTAAACATAACAATGATAAATCCTCATGTCCTGTGCAAATACCTTCTAACTGAACCAGCTAAATCTGACATACGCCAAACTATTCATGACTTACTCTGAAGACATTTTATATATAGCATCTCCATACGCGGTTGGAACATGACAGGCGCACAGTCGGATTTGCCAGCATATGCGCTCATCTTACCCAACCCCAATAAAGACACGGACACAGGTTATACTGTTGGAAATATTAGTCCACAGCTTTATTAAATTATAAATAAAATAATTAAAGAATAACAAATGGGGTCATTGCCAACAGACCTTATTAAAGTTAACATCCCCCATGTACATAACATTCCCCTAGCAATGACCCCCCAATAATAACAATAGATAACAATCCAAATAACATGTTAATACAGAAACTGGCCGCCCAATATGGCAACATTTTCACCAGGTTAAATGTGTACCAAAACACTGCTACCCACCATATCAATTGTAGGGGTGTACCAAGACACCGCTACCCACCATATCAATTGTAGGGGTGTACCAAGACACCACCACACCCCATATCAATTGTAGGGGTGTACCAAGACACCGCTCCCCACCAGTTCCCATGTAGGGTGTACCAAGACACCACCACACCCCCAGGTTCGGAGCCACCAACTAGCTTGAACCTACCAACCACGTGCAACACTGTCCAATCCACACTAAAACCACAGGATGCCCACTTTCTCCTCCATCTGCCCTCCGATTTAACCAGGCCATTCCCCGCCGCTGTGAAAAAATGGAAAATCGCCTAACCTAACCAAAATCAGGGAAGGTGGGAGGGACAACCTCCTGGCTCTGTCAAGGCCCATTCCTCTTAGCTGCGCTGATCCATGGGATACACTACAGCGCTTGGAATACAAATGTATTTGAAGCAAGCTAGCATATCAATGTCAACACAACAGGTTTTATGCAGATTACTTTTTAGTTTAAAAATCTAAGCTATATGAATTTACACAATTTATATTTTTCATTTATTCGTTCATCCTTTATAGATTTTTGGAGGGAATGACAGTAATTAGTGCATTATAAAGCAAAAATACAATGTTTCTCACATATAGTAGATGTGAAATAAATAAATAAATAGAAATTATAAAATATATTGCTTACATGTATTGGTAAGGACCCAGCAGGCATTACTAAACATGGCAATCAAATGTAAAAAGACTGTCTGCGTTTGAACACAATGCCCACATACTGTAAATACAGTTAAATTATATATTTGGAATATATGAATGAATATTCCAAACACCATAACACTACAGTGCTCCTTCCTGCCTCCAACACCAATGTCGGTGAGAGATTTAGGTTCCTAAACAGGAATTTCTGTGTTTGGATTGTTCCTTTGAAGAGTGCTATTGCAGTCTTTGTCAATTTAAGGAATTCAAATGTAATCCTAACCATGACAGAGTTCACTCACTCCTTTCACATCCCTAATTGTAGGAATGGTATTAATCATTGAAACTTCCTTTACTGTTTGGAAGAATGTCACCTCTTTGTGAAAAGAATATTTTAATACAGACTAAAAATGAGATTAAATGGTTTTTAGGCGACAAGTAGAGTTGAGTGGACACCTGGGTGTTCGGGTCCGGTGGGTTCGGCCGAACTTTGAAAAAAAGTCTGGGTTCGGGCTCGAACTTGACCCCAAACCTGAACCCCATTGAAGTCAATGGGGATCTGAACTTTTGGCCACAAAAATGGCTCTAAAAAACTCCTGGAAAGGGCTAGAGGGCTGCAAAAAGAAGTAAAATGGGGGTAAGAGTAGGACAAATGCCCTGCAAGCAAATGTGGAATGGTGAAATCATTTAAAAATAACATAAAATAAGCAGCTGCTTAGTAGATAACTCCCTAATTCACACGTTATTAGCGAGCTATCTACCAAAACGCTGAAAGACCTAAATTGGTCTTTCAACCACATTTAGTAATACTAAGTAAAGATTACTTAGTATTAGTAAATTCAGCCCCTACTCGCTAAAACCTATTGCCCCCACCCCTGTGCGACGAATGGGGGCCCTAAATAAGAATGTGGAGGGGGACACCTACTGTCCTCCCCCCTGGCCCCCACCCCTGCGTGGTGGGAGGGGGCAATAAATAACAATAAGGGGGGGATCTAGTGTCCTGCCCCCGGCCCTCACCCCCGCGCACCGGGTGGGGGCTCTAAATAACAATAAGGGGGGGAACCTAATGTCTTCCCCCCCGGCCCCCACACCTGCGCGGTGGGTGGGGGCCCTAAATAACAATTGAGGGGTGGGACCTAATGTCCTTCCCCCCCGGCCCCTACCCATGCGCGGTGGGTGGGGTCCCTAAATAAAAATTGGGGGACCTAATGTCCTCCCCCCCGACCCCCACCCCTGCACGGTGGGTGGTGGCCCTAAATAACAATACCGTCCTGCGCAGTGGGTGGGGGTCCTAAATTAGTATTAGTAAATACTCCAAAGAACTTTCCCACGCTGTGTATAATGGCACAGAGCACTCTGATTGGTTAGCTTGAAATCCAGCCAATCAGAGTGCTCTGTGTCATTTTACACAGCGTGGGAAAATTCCAAAGAACTTTCCCACGCTGTGTAAAATGACACAGAGCACTCTGATTGGTGGATTTCAAGCCAGCCAATCAGAGTGCTGTGACAGGTAAATGTAGAGACTTACCTGTCAGTCTCTTCATTTACCTGTCAGAGCACTCTGATTGGATGGCTTAAACCCACCAATCAGAGTGCTCTGAGCCCTATTGCAGGACGGGGCAAGGCTTTATAGGCCTTCACCAGCCCTGCAGAGCTCAGTCTGTGTGGAGCCCTCCATGGGTGAAGAAGGATTATTATTTTATTGCGTTCGTTTTTTTTTTGTTTTTTTTAAAGTGCGTCGGTTATTCTGGATTTTTATTTGGCGTTTTTTGGGGCTGGAAAAATAAGATTTTAGAAGAAAGAAGACATCAAATGGTAAGTCTATTTTTTGTTTTACAGGTATTTAGACAAGGGTCCCCCCTCATTATTTTAGGATGAAGGTGGTAGGTAGGGGTAATTTTTTTGGGGGAAGGGGAGTGACTAGGGGTTTGGGGACCCCTTGTCACCTGGGGGGGAGAATTTTTATTTATGGGCCCCTCCCACCGCTTAGGGGTGGGGGCCAGGGGGGAGGACATTAGGTCCCCCCCTTATTGGAATTTAGGGTTTAATAGACACACCCCTACTCCCAGTATAGTGAGTACGTCCATAACTTACTAATACTAAGTGACCAGCTTCTATAGAGGCTGGGTCACATGCTGCATTGGCCAATCACAGCCATGTCATTAGTAGGCATGGCTGTGATGGCTTCTAAGGGCACACAAGTCAAACGCTTGTTGATTGGCTGCCCTGCGGCCTTTCAACACGCGTCATTAAATCGCCAAACTCCGAACTCCAACCCGAACATACAATATGTCCGTGTTCGGGACCGGGGTCCAAAAAACTTAATGTTCGGTACGGACCCGAACTGTACAATTTGGGTTCATTAAACTCTAGCGACAAGTTAAAAAATAGATTAATGTGGGAACATGTCACTACTAGACAGAGAGAGTAAAATAATAGATAATCTTAGTCTCCTGGACTAACAAACAATAAGCTTTTAAACCTTATATATCTGATATTTATTGTGAATTACTCTCAACAGGAAATACTGCCTGGATGACCTCCTCACCAATGTGATGATCTACTGGACTACAGGGTCCATAACGTCTTCCATGAGATTCTACAAAGAGAACTTTCCTCGAAACTACGACCAAACTCCAGATGTCAAGTAAATATATTAGATATAAGTTTATTAGTTAAACTGGGGCATCTATTAAATATTACATTAAAGGATCACTATAGTGTCAGGAAAACAAAGCGGTTTTCCTGACACTATGGTACCCTGAGGGTGCCCCCACCCTCTGGGTCCCCCTCCCGTGGCGCTGAAAGGGTTAAAACCCCTTCAGCAGTTTACCTTAATTCAGCGCCGGGCTCCCTCGGCGCTGGTGACCTCTCCTTCCCCGCCGACGTCAGCTCCCCGTCCAACGTCAGTGGAGCCGAATGCGCATGCGTGGCAAGTGCCGCGCGCGCATTCAAAGTGTTCATAGCAGAAATGTCTCATTTCTCAATGCTTTCCTATGGACGCTCTGCATGATGGAGGCGAAATGTGCCTACAGCGTTGCAGATGCTCCTCTAGTGGCTGTCCAGAAGACAGCCACTAGAGGCTGGATTAACCCCAAATGTAAACATAGCAGTTTCTCTGAATCTGCTCTGTTTGCATCTGAAGGGTTAAAACCTGAGAGACCTGGCACCCAGACCACTTCATTGAGCTGAACTGGTCTGGGTGACTATAGTGGTCCTTTAACATACTGTATATACCACCGGAGGAAGGAGTCAACACTACATATAGCGGGACATCCAACACATTTACTGCAAAACCGTCACAGTACACAGTGTTATATAGAAATTATATCTCACAAGTGACCCTATTTAGGAGGGACAGTCCCTATTTTGATCCATATTGTTGGTGTGTCTGATTGTATAACAGAGCTCCAGAGCAATAATACTCCCAGTAATGTGTCTTTACACTACAGTATGTGTTTAGAAATCAGTCGGAGTAAAAAGATACATTGCTCTTGTTATAAATTGAAGATTATGCTAGCTTCAGTGTACAGATAATCTTAATTTTAATAAGGACAGGAGGCGAGTATTTTGCATAATCTTTCTTTACTAACTCCATAGCAGCAAAGAAAAGAGTGACATAACTGAGAACCAATCACAATGCAGTATAGAGTATAAGAGGTGTAACGTATGACATCATTTCCTCTTTAAAGCATGCGACATCACAAGATCACAATGCAGAAACAATAAAGATAACGTATAACATGAAAATAGAACATAAACGTATGAAGAATTCTAGACAGGGACGAGTTCTTGGTGTCAAGTGACGAACTTCCATGACAAGATGATGATGATATCTTGAAGGAAGTCTGCAGTGTCCTGATTCATCTGGTTAAACTGAAACGAGAATGTAAAAGGGTATTAGATTCCGGAGATGGTTGTGTAAAACAACAAGATGTCTATCCCTTATGATTAAGTAACCATCATATTGCAATAGAGCGAATACATTCCACCCATCTATTGATGCTACCTAAGCCATCCCACCCATATGAAATATCTGTATTAATCGTAAGAAGACAACTTAGGCATTTAGCACAAAAACATGTGAATAAAGAGATAGAAATATACATGAAGACAGAGGTGGGGAAGAGCGAAAGAGAGCAGGGTGGGAAAATACTCGCCTCCTTGTCATTATTAAAATTAAGATTATCTGTACACTGAAGCTAGCATAATCTTCAATTTTATCACATGACAGGAGGCTTCGTATTTTGCAATTTCAACGCTGAGTAAGTAGAGCAAAAGCTGGGTTAGATGGAGGACGGAAATAGAACGTCCTAAAGGTGGATTCTCTGGTCCAGTCCGCCGCTCGTAAAATATCTGGAAGGGAGGCCCCCGCTGCGTAGGCAGAAGAGGCCGCGGCCCCTCGGACTGAGTGTGCACCAAAAGCCTGGTCTATCCCGGCGAGGGCTAATAGCCATCTAACCCATCTGGCCAACGTAGTAACCGAGACTGGAGCGTAGGGGCGGACGTAAGAGATGAGAAGTTGGCGATTGGAAGTAGGCCGCAACGTCGCGGTGGCTTCCACATATCGACGAAGAGTAGAGACCACACAGAGTTGTGGGTCTGAGGGAAAAAAGGGGTAAAAAACAGAGGAAGAGTCAGATTTCGTGCGTCTAGAGATCTGGAAGGTTACTCCCGCTGGGCAGAAGGTAAATGCGTCGGCATCGAAAGCGCGTACATCGGACACCCGACGAAAGGAGACTAGGCAGAGTAGGAAGGTGAACTTTGCCGTAAGCTGGCGGAGTGACAAGTTCTCATTAGGGGGCCAGTCCCGTAAAAACTGTAAGACTATGCCAACGTCCCAGAGTCTCGAGTATTTGGGTTCCGGGGGGCGCCGAAGGCGCATGCCACGGAGGAGTCTACAGATGAGTGGGTTCTGGCCCACTGGTGTCCCTTGAATCGGCGTATGAGCCGCTGAGATGGCTGAACGTATCACGTTGATGGACCGGTATGACTTCCCGGTTGTGAACAGAGAGGTGAGGAAATTCATGATGGAGGGAATAGGTGCCGTAAAGGGATTGAGATCCCGTCCCAGACACCAAGTGGTCCAGCAGTGCCATGCTGATAAGTAGCACCTCCTTGTTCCTGGCGCCCATGAGTCCCATAGGAGCTCTCTAGTTTCCTGCGATAAATCCTCGGTTCGCCAGGAACCCCTGAAAGAGTCCAAGCCACCAGGGGCAGTCGGCCCTCCTGGACCAGCGGATGGGGAAGATATGAAATATCTGTATTAATCGTAAGAAGACAACTTAGGCATTTAGCACAAAAACATGTGAATAAAGAGATAGAAATATACATGAAGACAGAGGTGGGGAAGAGCGAAAGAGAGCAGGGTGGGAAAATACTCGCCTCCTGTCATTATTAAAATTAAGATTATCTGTACACTGAAGCTAGCATAATCTTCAATTTTATCACATGACAGGAGGCTTCGTATTTTGCAATTTCAACGCTGAGTAAGTAGAGCAAAAGCTGGGTTAGATGGAGGACGGAAATAGAACGTCCTAAAGGTGGATTCTCTGGTCCAGTCCGCCGCTCGTAAAATATCTGGAAGGGAGGCCCCCGCTGCGTAGGCAGAAGAGGCCGCGGCCCCTCGGACTGAGTGTGCACCAAAAGCCTGGTCTATCCCGGCGAGGGCTAATAGCCATCTAACCCATCTGGCCAACGTAGTAACCGAGACTGGAGCGTAGGGGCGGACGTAAGAGATGAGAAGTTGGCGATTGGAAGTAGGCCGCAACGTCGCGGTGGCTTCCACATATCGACGAAGAGTAGAGACCACACAGAGTTGTGGGTCTGAGGGAAAAAAGGGGTAAAAAACAGAGGAAGAGTCAGATTTCGTGCGTCTAGAGATCTGGAAGGTTACTCCCGCTGGGCAGAAGGTAAATGCGTCGGCATCGAAAGCGCGTACATCGGACACCCGACGAAAGGAGACTAGGCAGAGTAGGAAGGTGAACTTTGCCGTAAGCTGGCGGAGTGACAAGTTCTCATTAGGGGGCCAGTCCCGTAAAAACTGTAAGACTATGCCAACGTCCCAGAGTCTCGAGTATTTGGGTTCCGGGGGGCGCCGAAGGCGCATGCCACGGAGGAGTCTACAGATGAGTGGGTTCTGGCCCACTGGTGTCCCTTGAATCGGCGTATGAGCCGCTGAGATGGCTGAACGTATCACGTTGATGGACCGGTATGACTTCCCGGTTGTGAACAGAGAGGTGAGGAAATTCATGATGGAGGGAATAGGTGCCGTAAAGGGATTGAGATCCCGTCCCAGACACCAAGTGGTCCAGCAGTGCCATGCTGATAAGTAGCACCTCCTTGTTCCTGGCGCCCATGAGTCCCATAGGAGCTCTCTAGTTTCCTGCGATAAATCCTCGGTTCGCCAGGAACCCCTGAAAGAGTCCAAGCCACCAGGGGCAGTCGGCCCTCCTGGACCAGCGGATGGGGAAGTCCCATCGGGTTCCTGAGAATGGATGGAGTATCTGGTAGGAGGAGGGGATCCTTGTTCGATAGTTCCAGAAGATCCGGGAACCATGGTTGGCTTTGCCATAGAGGTGTGATGAGGGTCAGTATCACCCTCTGCCTGCGGATTCGGTGGAGAACCCTCGTAATCATCGAGAATGGAGGGAAGGCGTAAGCCCCGTGTTGTGGCCATTGTTGCAGAAACGCGTCGGTTGCTAGACTCTCCGGATCTGGGAGCCAACTGAAGAAGTCCTTCGTCTGACGGTTGTTGCGGGAGGCGAATAAGTCCAGGGAGAAGGGGCCCCTCTGTGTATCTAGCATCGTGAAAACGCGAGGGTCTAGTTGCCAGTCGCTGGCGTCCCTCCAGTGGCGTGAGTACCAATCTGCTGTCGTGTTGGTCTCTCCTGGTAAGTGTTCCGCCAATAGCGTGATGTTGCGAGGCAGACAATAATCGAAGATTTCCTTCGTGAGTTCTACTAATGCTTGGGAGCGGGTGCCTCCGAGTCGGTTGATGTATCTTACCGCCGAGACGTTGTCCATCCGGAGAAGGATGCAGCAGTTGGATCGTTCTTTTGCCAGACTGCGAATGGCGAACGATCCCGCCAGGAGCTCCAAACAGTTGATGTGCATCGAAAGTTCTTGGGGAGTCCACACTCCCCCCGTGGAGGAGGTGCCGTCTGTTGCTCCCCAACCTGAGCGGCTGGCGTCTGACTCCAATATGAAGTCTGGTTGATTTCCGAATATCGCCCGGCCATTCCAAGCCTGCATGCAGTTCAGCCACCAGTGCAGTTCCTCCCGAACTTCGTCCGACATGGGGACCGGTTGGTCGTATGTTGGGTCTTTGCGAAGGAACTTTGTCTTGAGGCGTTGCATGGCTCTGTAATGCAGGGGTCCAGGAAAGATGGCCTGGATGGATGACGAGAGCAGGCCCACTATTCGTGCTAGTAGACGTAAAGGTATGGATGTCAGTCGAAGTACCTTCCGAATTTCTCTGCGGATGGTGGCAATTTTTGCGGCCGGGAGGCGTAGCGTGCACGATATTGAGTCTATCTCGAACCCAAGGAATTCGATCGACTGAGCAGGAGTCAGTGATGACTTGGGGCCGTTGATAACGAAACCCAGTGAGTCGAGGAGGTGTACAGCGTAGTCTGTATGTCTCTTTAGGGTCCTTGCATCCTCGTCGAATATCAAGATGTCGTCGAGGTAGACGATGCATCTTATGCCGTGGGCCCTTAGTCTCGCCATTACCGGCTTCATCATTTTGGTGAAACACCATGGGGCCGAACTGAGGCCGAACGGGAGACAGGTGAATTGCCAAGGTGTCCCGTGCCAGTAGAAGCGGAGGTATGAGCGGCTCCTTTCGTGCACCGGTATGGTAAGGTATGCGTCCTTTAGGTCTAGACGCGTGAACCAATCGTTGTCTCGCAGTAGGTCCCGGAGAAGATGGATACCCTCCATTTTGAAGTGGCGGTACACCACATAGGAATTGAGCTCCTTGAGGTTGATGACGGGACGGAATTCCCCAGTTTTCTTCCTGACTAGGAAGATATTGCTGTAGAACCCGGTTGAGTCCGGAGCTGGTTGGATGGCACCCTTGGCGTGTAAGTCCTGAAGTTCCATGTCTATCAAAGAAGCGTCTGCCCGTGAAAACTGAATCGGGCGAGGTGGTGCCTGTTGGAGTGGCCTCGTCTCGAATTCTATTTGATAGCCCCGCACCGTCCGAAGTATCCATGTGTCGGAGGAGAGGTCTGCCCAATTCTGGAAAAAAAGAGAAACACGACCTGCGATATGGCAAGGGGTTAGAGGCAGTATAGAATGGTAACTTACCGTTGGAGAATCTCGCTCGGGAGCGTCCTCGGCCGCCACGGCCACGTTCCGATCCCCTGAACTGATGGAATCGATGGCGTGCAGATGGATCTGTGTAGAATGGTTGCGACCTGGTTGTGCGGGGGCCGGATGGCCAGAAGCGGCTGGTGGCACGGCCCCTCTGCCGACCAGCCCTCCCAAAAACACCACGGGTGTTGTGGCCGCGGAACACTTTCCGCATTGATGTTTGTGCCTTATTGAGGGAAGTGAATATGTTGACCCTCTTATTAAGCTCAGTAAGGAAGGCCTCGCCAAACAGTTTGCCCTGTGCCAAAGGGCCTAATTCTTTATCCCCCAGTTCGACAAGCTTGTCATCGATTCTGAAAAGTGCTGCTCGGCGCCTCTCCGAAGAGAGGGCCACATTAGTGTTCCCGAGGAAACAGAAGCACCTTTGTGCCCACTCTCGGGTATCTCGTGCCCACTCACGCACCATATCTGGGGAGAAGTCATCAGCCCTTTCATAGGCATCATCTGCCATATCCATGATCCTCGCCAAAGGCCCGATGGCATCTAATAGTTTGTCCTGAGCTCCCTTGAAACCACGTTCCACACCCTTGCGTGGGTCCCGACCCCCGCGGGACATGAATGTGGTCATAAGCGGGTCGAATTCGGGGGTGTGTGCTACCTTATCTGGTAGGCTCGGGCGAGGACATTCAGATCTCATACGCTTTCTCACTTCTTTGTCCAGAGACTTCCGGAGCCAGAAGTGCATGAATCTGGTCAAGTGTTCGGGTGGTGTCCATTCTTCCGAACGGGGATGGCGAATGTTCCTAGGATCGAACATTCGGAGGCCAGAATTGTCCAAAAATATTTCTGAACCCTCTTGTGGGATGTCTAGGGATGTGGTCCCGGAGTCCTGGGGCGCAGCGGAGTAATCGGATTCCTCTTGGTCGGAGGCTGCCGCCTGCCATTCGTCAACCACGGCTAACGCGTGTGAGGGACCTGCGTCCTCTTCCCCAGAGGAAACCTGAGCGGGTTTTTGTGATGATTTGCTTGTGTCTCGTCTGCGTTTAGCAGGGGCCTTTCCTTTGGATTTACGTGGTCCCATAGCCTCGCCTTTCCAATGGCGCTTAGGGGGGTGGGAGCGTTCCCTGGAGGAATCGGAGTCTTCCGAATCCGCCCCATAATGAGCCCGTTTGGGAATGGGCTTAGATGCGTCTTGTTCCAATTGGAACGACTTAGCCAAAGCTTTTTCCATGGATGCAGCAACCGCTGCTGCAATCATGGCCTGGAGATCTGAGGGATTTTGGGATTCTTCCATGTTGTTAATCACACTCGGGGCTCACCCAGTGAATATGCGTGAGGGCACTTGTGGTACTTGTGGCACAAAATGGGGAGGCCTGGGGACCAGGGGGTGGTGTAGAATAGGTAGTGGTTAACCTGAAAGCGCTATGCGACTGGTAAGTCAAGCGAGGGCTGTCGCTGGGGCTCACCCAGGAATTTGGAATCCTGCATAAACAGGTCCTTTCAGCAGCACATGAAAGGGGGCTCACCCCTGCCAGAATAAGGGTATTCCCACTGGCTGAAACCGACCCCAAGTGCAAAGCACTAACCTGATACTGGTCCCACAGTGAGCTGATAAGGCTGCAGAGTTCAAAGAGTATTCCAGAGTATTTGTGCAGTAATAATAGGCTGGAGTAGTAAGCAGGATAGTAGTAGCCGTTTAAAATGGCCGCCGGACTGAAAGCAGAAGGAAATGGGAGGTTTTAGTACCTCCCCTAGATGTTTTGAGCGGCAAAAAATTACCCGAACGGCGGGCGTTCGCGCTTACGAATCAGCCGAACGGAAGCGTTCGGCTAATACGCACGAATGCAAGCGCCTAATAAGAGACGTTCGCGGGAATTTGCCGAACGCTAGGCGTTCGCAAAGGGAACAAGTCTATGCGAACAGAAGTGCCGTTCGCGAAAAAACGTGCGAATGACGATAAGGCGGGAAAGAAACCCGCGAATTTAACTGACACTAGGAAGTATAGGTGAAAACGGCGAAAATGCCGTTAAGACTCCCTGAAAGGGGGTAAGCCAAATAAAAGCAGTGGAAAAAGTCCCAGAGCTAGAGGGGTGGGGGGAAGCCCCCAAAGGTAACAATACAGAAGTACTAAAATAACATAATGAATAAATGTAATAGAAATAGAAAAATTAGACAGTAGTTCTTAAATATAGATGACAAATAGTGTAAGGACAGAGAGGAAAACCAAGTCTGTACTTATCTTGTGATGGAGCAGCAAAGAAAGAGGAAATTATGTCATACGTTACACCTCTTATACTCTATACTGCATTGTGATTGGTTCTCAGTTATGTCACTCTTTTCTTTGCTGCTATGGAGTTAGTAAAGAAAGATTATGCAAAATACGAAGCCTCCTGTCATGTGATAAAATTACAATTATCTGCCATTTAGGAGTTAAATCACTTTGTTTATTAACCCTAGTCACACCTCCCTGCGTGTGACTTGCACAGCCTTCCTAAACACTTCCTGTAAAGAGTCATCTAGTGTGTATCCTTCCTTTTTTGCAAGTTCTGTTTAATTTAGATTATCTTATCCCCTGCTATGTTAATAGCTTGCTAGACCCTGCAAGAGGCTCTTGTATGCGATCAAAGTTCAATTTACAGAAAAAGAGATACAATTGTTTAAGGTTAATTACATCTGATTGAAAGTGAAACCAGTTTTTTTTTTTCATGCAGGCTGTGCAAGTCACAGCCAGGGGAGGTGTGGCAAGGGCTGCATAAATAGAAACAAAGTGATTTAACTCCTAAATGGCAGAGAATTGAGCAGTGAAATTGCAGGGGGATGATCTATACACTAAAACTGATTTATTTAGCTAAAGTAATTTAGGTGACTATAGTGTTCCTTTAAGAAGTCTGTATATGTTTACAGGGATTAGGGATGTATGAGGGTGTTCCAGTCCTGTGCTGGAATACAGAGGTACGGCTGGGCAGCCTGACAGTGAAGAGGTGCAGGCCAGGATTTAGAAGACTATATGACACAAGCTATGGCCGTTTCCAAATTCTCACGTTGTAACCAACTGTAATAATATCCCGTTTATACTGAGGATAATAAATAAGGCAGAACATGAATTAATTAATAGTAGTAGTTCTGAAATTACCTTTATTTGTACAAAACCTTAAAAAGGAATCATGCCACACAACATATATTGTTTTAAATTCCATAAAACCACAGTTACAATGAAATATGGGGCTTGGACACCCATGTTAAGCCCCCTGTTATGGGAGATAAACATGGCGATGGCTGAACGGTCTGATACGAGAGTCTCCCGCAATATGATGTGTGTGTGAATTCGAAGGTAAATCATAAATCAGAAAACGTCCCCCAAAAACACAGTAACTGGGGGAAAAGGGAATGTTTTTACAAATAGAAAACACCTAACATTATTCACCAAACAGCGATTTGTAAGGAGCTGAAATGTGATTGGCAGAGAGTATTTCCAGCGGTCAGTGTGAGGACATGAATAATCCTTAGTAAATCCCGCACACATGGCGCCAGACATGGTGTGAGCTGCTGTTAATACCTGTTTCCTATTACAGGCTGAGTGTTTATGTTCCCACTGGTATCGCTGCTTTTCCCTGTGAGCTGGTGCATGCGCCGCGTGTCTGGGCAAAACACAAGTTTGGGAACATTGCGACCTACACCTACATGCCCAGAGGGGGGCATTTCGCTGCCCTGGAGGAACCTGAGCTACTGGCCCGAGATATCCAGAACTTCGTCTCCACTGTAGAGAAGAGATAAATGGGGGAACATGGAGATAATGTGTATAACACCTTGTCACCGACACACCATGCACTAAAAGATATAGAATTATAATTGTATGTTTTTTATGTGCCAAGCTTATTCATCCAGCAAACAGAATCCCACATCTGACGTGTACCATACTGTCCAAGAATTCTTCTCTCTGTGAGACAGTCCTACATTTCACCGCCAATCACCCATTAATGAGATAACTCTATAAAGTGATCACAGGGCTCCACAGAAATAATGAAAAATAGTTACTTGCGCACTATCACAAATCCATATGTAGATTTAAAAGAATTGAGTTTTTTTTAGTATCAGACACATACACTGACACACTGACCCATGCCGACACACACTGACCCATACAGACTGAAATACACAAACAAATTCTTCACAAAAACACATTGTGATGTCCCATTGACCCACTTACCTTTTTTCATATTTGACTGCTTTTCATGTGTTCCTGGCAGCTTCCTGTGCCTGGCCGCCTTCACTCCGTCTCAGCCTCGCCCCTGCTATGCTCCCGCCCACTTGTCCCCATGTACAGGGTAAGGGACGGGAGCGAGAAATTGAAGCGCCTTTGCACTGCTGCGTCAATGCAAGTTTTTGTGGGGGTCCTGACTGAGCAGGCTGAAGTGGATGACGCCGGACCAGTGTTACACCGGGCGCTGGTCAGCAGCCATGTAAGTGCTCCCTAGCACCTGGTAACATGGCCGGTGGCACGATTTGTACAATTATTCAAACATAGAGGGGCGTCCAAACGAGCAGAGCAGTAAATCTCCTGCCAGCGCCCCCCTTTAAGCAGCGACTAGTAGGCCGCCTAGTTGGCGTATAGGAAGCGCCAGCCCTGGCTGCAATGTAAATATTTCAGCACTAGGTGCAATAGGGATACTCTACCCAGACCACTTCAATTGGCTGAAGTGGTCTGGGTGCCTATAGTGTCCCTTTAACATTGGTTGAAAGACTTTATTTGCCATCAGGAAGCCCATATATTGAATGTTTAAATCTATAGAAAATGCATTCCAAGTGATATAGGATAGAAATTGACAGAATATTACTAGTATACAATATCAGTTCAATCCTCATAGAAACATTTGTTAGATTTCAAGTAAAATGTTATTATAAGCAGAGGCATCTGATGACCTGTTAACTATTCTTAAAACAGACCCTGAACCCCAAAAATGTTGGCCGATAGAACTCCTCTAGTTGATTGGACTCCAAACACCACCCTGTTTATTCCTGTTTCAAGGGACACTCTAAGCACCAACACAACTTTAATTTAGTGAAGTTAAATATAAATATAAGAGCTAGTTAGGCTAACCTCCTTGTGACTTATAATTATTCATATTCTAAATTTATGAACAGGAATATGTATGTATGTATTATGCTGGGGAATTACCATGCAGCATATTACATAACTAACACCATCCAACCCCCCAATAACGACAGACCACTTAAAAATAAATTACTGCAGAACACATCCATAACTTTATTTATTATATCTCTCTCTTCTTTCTGTAACCAAATACGTTAGAAATAAATGATCATAAATTAACATATATACATATAATAACTAAACGTGCTATGCAGAGACCCAATCGTCCTTGCCAATAAACATACAGTGGTTCCTAATGACCACTTCCTCTCACCTCCCCCCTTGTCATAAAAATCATATCTGTCCAATGCCCGCCATCAGCCGACCTTATCCACGCTCGATGGGCACGACGCCCCAGGTAGCCTAATGTTAACCGTTTGAAGCAGGGGAGGTTGAGACCTGCCAACTTATTGAACTCACTCCATCCATAAACATAACCCCTCAAACTTAATTGGCAAGGACATACTCTCGCTGTGACTAACTAATACTAAAAGAGGTGGGCGGGAAGCTGTTTGCTGGCCCGAATCCCAAGTGGCACTGAGGTAAGACCAACCCCCCCCCCACTAACTCACATAGAACCTAACCCCACCCACACGTTCTTCCCAAACTACTCCCACGCATCTATCCCCACACTCCTACATGTGCCCTTGTCCGCTTAGCTGCGCTATCTCCCCAGGGCCTTTCTACTTCCTGTAGAATAGTAACTATTATTTATACCCATATTTTCTATTTTTTTCTTGCATTTCTTTGCACAATGAAAATGTGATTAACATGAGTAATTAAGGATATCAATTATTTTTTTCTAAATAAATGTAAGAAAATAGGGAATATTTTCAGTGGTTGTGATAAATGAATGTTGTGTAGACGGTAGTCTGTGGAAATACATAAGGAAAACCTGGTTAATTTTATATTGAAATCTTGAACTGTCCCATAATTAGGCAATTATTAAAGGACAACTGTCACCTCCAAACTATTTTTAATCTAATTATCCTTTCATCAGTGCAGTCAACGTGACCTTTGTAGTGCCGCTTTAATTGGAGCAGCTAATTTTTTTATTTTTTTTATTGAATAATTATTTTGGAGTTACAATAGATTTGTTACTTGTTAGTATGACACTGAATATCCCAGTAGACGAGTAGCTGTAAAACTGTCTTGCACCTAATGTATAATTTTTAAAAAAAAATGTACTTATTAAATGAATTACTAAATATGAATTCTAGCTGTTTGTTTTTGTCTTCGTTTTGTATTCCAAACTATATGGAATTCATTTAACTCAAAACATGTTTTACAATGTTTCAAATAGCTGCAAAAACTAGCAATTCGCCAGTATAGCTTTACAGAAACTATTAGCATCCAAATAAATATATTTTACTTCAACAAATTAATCATTATTATATTTTAACTCTTAGAAGACTTGGATGAAAATAGTTGAACTCCTCTTGGCTCTTTATAAATAATGCACATAAAATATGAAACAAAGCTGTGTAGTGTAAAAAATAAAATCGAAAAAATGACAATCCAGGGTAAGTGTTAAAACCGCAATCGAATAATATTCCCATCTGGTGAAATATACTTCCAAATCACTGAATGCTTACTTCGGAATCTTCACAAACATAGTGCAGTGTATAGTCTTCACAATCTTTAATCACTTAAAACATAAACAGAGTAAAACCATAAAATACATAAATATAGCCACTAATAGCGTAGAAAAGCACCATACAGGTCCAGGAAACCTAATTCGGCAAGATATGGTGTCTAACAGTTTGACCCACAATCGGTTCCGGGTCCCTGGTGTCAGGAGGAAGACGGGTTTTGTCTATACAGGCTTTTTCAAGGAGAGCTCAGTGATAACGTCTGGAGCCGATTGTGGGACAGACTACTGAAATCAATATCTTCCAGATTAGATATTCGCTACCACTACGCTATATTTACAATTATTACAATAAAATACTACAGTAGCCGTTTCTTATACAGGGTACGTATTCCTTGACTGTAAATAAAACACACAGAGAATATAATGTGAATGATAAAAAGTCATCCAAATTAATAGACGCTTGGAAACATAGACAATATTACAGTAAATCCAAAACGTCATCCACGGTGTGTGTGAATACAGACAGAATATTGACCAAAATAAACCTGAACTGGCTGTACAACACACACAGGGGTATTACAGACAAAATAAACCAGAACTGGCTCTACAACACACACAGGGGGTATTACAGACAAAATAAACCAGAACTGTCTGTACAACACACACAGGGGTATTACAGACAAAATAAACCAGAACTGGCTTACAACACACACAGGGGTATTACAGACAAAATAAACCAGAACTGACTGTACAACACACACAGGGGTATTACAGACAAAATAAACCAGAACAGTCTGTACAACACACACAGGGGTATTACAGACAAAATAAACCAGAACTGGCTTACAACACACACAGGGATATTACAGACAAAATAAACCAGAACTGGCTGTACAACACACACAGGGGTATTACAGACAAAATAAACCAGAACTGACTGTACAACACACACAGGGGGTATTACAGACAAAATAAACCAGAACTGACTGTACAACACACACAGGGGTATTACAGACAAAATAAACCAGAACTGGCTTACAACACACACAGGGGTATTACAGACAAAATAAACCAGAACTGGCTCTACAACACACACAGGGGTATTACAGACAAAATAAACCAGAACAGTCTGTACAACACACACAGGGATATTACAGACAAAATAAACCAGAACAGTCTGTACAACACACACAGGGATATTACAGACAAAATAAACCAGAACAGTCTGTACAACACACACAGGGATATTACAGACGAAATAAACCAGAACTGGCTCTACAACACACACAGGGATATTACAGACAAAATAAACCAGAACTGGCTCTACAACACACACAGGGGTATTACAGACAAAATAAACCAGAACTGACTGTACAACACACACAGGGGTATTACAGACAAAATAAACCAGAACTGGCTTACAACACACACAGGGGTATTACAGACAAAATAAACCAGAACTGGCTTACAACACACACAGGGGTATTACAGACAAAATAAACCAGAACTGGCTTACAACACACACAGGGGTATTACAGACAAAATAAACCAGAACTGGCTCTACAACACACACAGGGATATTACAGACAAAATAAACCAGAACTGGCTCTACAACACACACAGGAGGTATTACAGACAAAATAAACCAGAACTGGCTCTACAACACACACAGGGGGTATTACAGACAAAATAAACCAGAACTGGCTCTACAACACACACATGGGTATTACAGACAAAATAAACCAGAACAGTCTGTACAACACACACAGGGGTATTACAGACAAAATAAACCAGAACAGTCTGTACAACACACACAGGGGTATTACAGACAAAATAAACCAGAACTGGCTCTACAACACACACAGGGATATTACAGACAAAATAAACCAGTACAACACACACAGGACTGACTAAACCAGAACTACAACACACACAGGGGTATTACAGACAAAATAAACCAGAACTGGTACAACACACACAGGGGTATTACAGACAAAATAAACCAGAACTGGCTCTACAACACACACAGGGGGTATTACAGACAAAATAAACCAGAACTACAACACACACAGGGGTATTACAGACAAAATAAACCAGAACTGGCTTACAACACACACAGGGGTATTACAGACAAAATAAACCAGAACTGGCTCTACAACACACACAGGGGTATTACAGACAAAATAAACCAGAACAGGCTGTACAACACACACAGGGGTATTACAGACAAAACCAGAACTGGCTCTACAACACACAGGTCTGGCTACACACAGGGATATTACAGACAAAATAAAACAGGGCTCACCACAACACACACAGTATTACAGACAAAATAAACCAGAACTGGCTTACAACACACACAGGGGTATTACAGACAAAATAAACCAGAACTGACTGTACAACACACACAGGGGTATTACAGACAAAATAAACCAGAACTGACTGTACAACACACACAGGGGTATTACAGACAAAATAAACCAGAACTGGCTTACAACACACACAGGGGTATTACAGACAAAATAAACCAGAACTGGCTTACAACACACACAGGGGTATTACAGACAAAATAAACCAGAACTGGCTTACAACACACACAGGGGTATTACAGACAAAATAAACCAGAACTGGCTCTACAACACACACAGGGATATTACAGACAAAATAAACCAGAACTGGCTCTACAACACACACAGGAGGTATTACAGACAAAATAAACCAGAACTGGCTCTACAACACACACAGGGGTATTACAGACAAAATAAACCAGAACTGGCTCTACAACACACACATGGGGGTATTACAGACAAAATAAACCAGAACTGGCCGTACAACACACACAGGGGGTATTACAGACAAAATAAACCAGAACTGGCTGTACAACACACACAGGGGGTATTACAGACAAAATAAACCAGAACTGGTTCTACAACACACACAGGGGTATTACAGACAAAATAAACCAGAACTGTCTGTACAACACACACAGGGGTATTACAGACAAAATAAACCAGAACTGGCTTACAACACACACAGGGGTATTACAGACAAAATAAACCAGAACTGGCTCTACAACACACACAGGGATATTACAGACAAAATAAACCAGAACTGGCTCTACAACACACACAGGAGGTATTACAGACAAAATAAACCAGAACTGGCTCTACAACACACACAGGGGGTATTACAGACAAAATAAACCAGAACTGGCTCTACAACACACACATGGGTATTACAGACAAAATAAACCAGAACAGTCTGTACAACACACACAGGGGTATTACAGACAAAATAACCAGAACTGGCTCTACAACACACACAGGGGTATTACAGACAAAATAAACCAGAACTGGCTGTACAACACACACAGGGGTATTACAGACAAAATAAACCAGAACTGGCTTACAACACACACAGGGGTATTACAGACAAAATAAACCAGAACTGACTGTACAACACACACAGGGGTATTACAGACAAAATAAACCAGAACAGTCTGTACAACACACACAGGGGTATTACAGACAAAATAAACCAGAACTGGCTTACAACACACACAGGGATATTACAGACAAAATAAACCAGAACTGGCTGTACAACACACACAGGGGTATTACAGACAAAATAAACCAGAACTGACTGTACAACACACACAGGGGGTATTACAGACAAAATAAACCAGAACTGACTGTACAACACACACAGGGGTATTACAGACAAAATAAACCAGAACTGGCTTACAACACACACAGGGGTATTACAGACAAAATAAACCAGAACTGGCTCTACAACACACACAGGGGTATTACAGACAAAATAAACCAGAACAGTCTGTACAACACACACAGGGATATTACAGACAAAATAAACCAGAACAGTCTGTACAACACACACAGGGATATTACAGACAAAATAAACCAGAACAGTCTGTACAACACACACAGGGATATTACAGACGAAATAAACCAGAACTGGCTCTACAACACACACAGGGATATTACAGACAAAATAAACCAGAACTGGCTCTACAACACACACAGGGGTATTACAGACAAAATAAACCAGAACTGGCTCTACAACACACACAGGGGTATTACAGACAAAATAAACCAGAACTGGCTTACAACACACACAGGGGTATTACAGACAAAATAAACCAGAACTGGCTTACAACACACACAGGGGTATTACAGACAAAATAAACCAGAACTGGCTTACAACACACACAGGGGTATTACAGACAAAATAAACCAGAACTGGCCGTACAACACACATAGGGGTATTACAGACAAAATAAACCAGAACTGGCTTACAACACACATAGGGGGTATTACAGACAAAATAAACCAGAACTGGCTTACAACACACACAGGGGGTATTACAGACAAAGTACACCAGAACTGGCTTACAACACACACAGGGGTATTACAGACAAAATAAACCAGAACTGGCTGTACAACACACACAGGGGTATTACAGACAAAATAAACCAGAACTGGCTTACAACACACACAGGGGTATTACAGACAAAATAAACCAGAACAGTCTGTACAACACACACAGGGGTATTACAGACAAAATAAACCAGAACTGGCTTACAA